TCTATTGCCTCAGAACAAGTTAGTAATTCACCACTGTGCAAAACAGACCATTTGCTTACTAGAGGCTCACAATGATTGCTGTCGAACACACTTTTTGCCATAATTTATGATCATGTTGTAAGGTTACTCTCTGAGGCATGTCATGTCCATAAAGTTAACTTTTTGTAACAATGGGGAATAGTTTGTATAATGGGAAATCAATGACAATTGGAACGTGAGGACAAGAAAGGATCATTCAGCCATTGAATCGGTTCCATCATTTTATCGAATTATGACAGATTTTTAAAACCCAATCCCTCACGTTTTCTCCATATCCCTTAAAGCCCTTCCGTCCCCACTCTATATCCCCCTTTAAAGATGCCCCTGTGGCATCTGGGCCACACATTCCTTAACTCTCACAACCCACTGTGTTAGGAAATGTTGACTTCTGTACCTTAGTTGTTAGAGCACTCATCTCGCAAGCAAGAGGACCTGGCTTCAATTCCCCGCAGGGCGAAATGTTGGGCAAGTTTCCTTACTCCACATACCTGTTTACCTAGCAATAAGTAGGACCCCAGTTGTTAGTTGATTGGCAGATCTCTTTTAAGGGGATAATAATTTATTTTTTAAAAATGTGCTCACTTCATCCACGACTGTTTGTGGGACACTGCTGTGCGCAATTGTCTGCAGCGTTTTGCCCACAAAATACAGTCAAATCATTTTACAGTATATTCTGTGAAGCGCTTTGAGACATCTAGAAGGGGTGATATGGCGCTATATCAAATGCAAGGATTATTATTACATTTGATTATTATGTTTCCTGATTTCATTTCTAATCTAATATTAATTCTAATAACAAATCTGTAGCCATCCTCTTTGGCTTCTTGCCTTTGACTCCAACTGCGTCGACCTTTCCATTTTCTCACTCTGGCTATCTATGCCAGTGAGTAACCTTGGCGCTTCGTTTGATCCTCAGCTCTTGTTCAAGCCCTTCATCAAGTCCTTGAATAAAACAACTTTCCTTCTCCATCTCTGGAACGTTGCCCGCTTGCTGGCCTACAATAACCTCAAATGCTTTCCTCTGTAATCTCCAACTCATTTTGAACTTGGCAGCTTGTACCCTCTCCCACACCAGGCTTTGCAAAATCATCAACCACATTTTGCCAGACTCCACCGGTTTCCTCTCCCGCAACAGATCAGCTTTTAGATCCTCCCCCCACCCCGACCTTGAAATCTCTTCATGAACTTTTCCCACCAAACCTCTGCAATCCACTCCAACCACATTCTCCTGCTCACACCCTCCACTCATCCAATTTGGGTCTGCTCATTCCTTGTCCCTCTTGTCTTACTATTGGTTGTCATTAGGAAACCCCCCCATCTCCATTCCGATCTCTTTACCTTATGACCTGACTCCCTCCTCCAAAGAATAAAACTGCTTGACTTTGTCTACATACCCCCTTCTTCCCACCCATCTCTGCTCTTCCCATCCCTCAGTGATCCACATAATAATAATAATCCTTGCATTTGATATAGCGCTTTCACGTCTTCACAGAATAGACTGTAAAGTGAACTGACTATATTTGTGGGTGAAATAATAATAATAATAATCCTTGCATTTGATATAGCGCTTTTCACGTCGGGAGGACGTCCCAAAGCGCTTCACAGAACACACTGTAAAGTGAATTGACTGTATATTTGTGGGCGAACGCGGCAGCCAATTGCGCACAGCAATGTCCCACAAACAGTCGTGGATTGAAGATGACCAATTTATTATTGTTTTTGGTTTTGGAGGGATTATTATTAGGCTCTGTGTGGAGTAAGGAAAATGTTGATCTCTGTAAAGCGATTCAAGACATACTGCAATGAAAAACATGGTGTATCATCTGCAGCATCTGTACACAACTGACTCAGGTTTATTGCTAATCTCAGCTAATTGACAAAGTCCTTTAAAGATTCATTTTCTTCTTTGTTCCTGCTCTGTACTATTCATAGTATTGAATATTTCAGTTAATAAGAGACCCTCAACAAAATTAAATAATTTCAGTTTTGTCAATGTGTGTAGAAATGTCGTGCTGTGCATAGAAATGTAGTGTGCTTTGAGACATAACTCTATATAAATGCAAGTTCTTATGATGCAGTAACAATGTAGTATAACGTACAATACAATTTACATTTAAATAGTGCCTTTCATGTTGGGAGGACATCCCAATTAATAGAGATATTTCTGCATATTCCAAGACTGAACATATGCATGGGAGCTCATTAAATTAATATTTATAATATAAATATGTATATGTAAATTGCAGTGAGAATTTCACTATAGATGCCTGATTGTAAAGGAAATATTATGTGCACAAAGTTCAGCAAAAAAGCAAACTTTCTCTGTTTGTCATACTAATGCTTTGCCAATCATTACAAATCACATAAGAAGAACAAATTATATTGGTATAGCACCTTTCATGTCAGGAAGATATAAGAATTTGCTAGGAGAAAGAAGACCAAGGTCTATCCAGTTTACCTTCCACCATTATATATTGTATATCACCAGCTTAATAATTGAAATGCTCCAATTACTCCAAAAAATTATTTTTAAAAAAAATCAGTTTGAATTTAGAAGCTGATTTTTTTAGAGAATGGCAGGGACAAACAGTTTCTAAATTTAGACAGGTAAAACCGGTCAACTGTATTTTAATGATCATATGGACTTGAACCATTATATCTTTCTGCTCATCTACCCCTCATTTCATTTAGAACATAAATCGATCCATTCAAAAGTGTACTAGCACACACTTTGCAACGTTAAAATCTATCTGCCATATTTCTGCCCATTATCTTAATTTGTCAATATTTCTCTGCATTTTTCATGTGTCTCCTTCACATATTAAACACAATCCTAAAAATAGTCCCCTCTATTCCTGCATCAAGGTCATTGGCCAACAATGTTCCAAACAAAATTGGTAATTCACTTCATGGCTATTGGTAGCAAATTGGATATGGGGTAGGAAGGACAGCTGTGGGTTGAATCTGAAGCCTAGGTTGTCCAATGGTTCGATGAGTCTAAGGAATAGACCGGGGAAGTTGAGAAGGTCAGAGCCGGAGGGTAGAATATGTTGACGGGAGCCAAGAAGGAATGGCTTCTATCTTGTCGACATTTAGTCGTAAGAGGTTTGTGTTCATCGAGCCCCTCAAGTCTGCCAGACAAGCCGACAGAAGATCGACAGACCTGGAGTCACAGCTGGAGGAGGAATAGATTTGTGTGTCATCCACATTCATGTGGAAGTTTACCCCGTGTCTACAGATGACATTGCCAAGTGGGAGCATGTGAATGAGGAAGAGGAAGAGGCCAAGGATGGAGCCCTGGAGTACACCACAGGTGACTGGGCGGGGGCGGGGGCAGAAACCATTTGAAGAGACAGAGTGGAAGCGGTTTGTTAGGTAGGACTCATACCAGGCTAGCGCAGTCTCACTTAGATGGATGTGGACGTGGATGAGGATGGCATGAACGACGGCGGAAGATCTAGGAGGACGAGAGAGCCTTGATCACAGAGAGAGAGGATGTCATTTGTGACCTTGACGCCAACTCTGTGCTCCATAATTTTAGGGTTCTATTAGGTTTGGTCTCTCCACTCCCTTCCTTATGTGTTTTCCCCTCAGTTGCAACCCGATCCACCCACCAAAATATCTGCTACTCCCCAGGATTACCCCATGGGCTACGTTTTTTAGTCCAATCTACAGGGAAACTCCAGTCTTCAGGGCGGAAATCACGTTAGTCTTTTTAGTTCTTTGGGTGAGGGCCCACTTGCGGGGTGGTTCTGACATCTAACATTGCACCTTTCAAGCTGCACATTGAAGATCCTGAACTATTAAATTTCATTCCACCCCAACACCCTCCCCCCACCCCACCAAAGAAAAAGTACCGTGGTGTTCAAGGAAATAAGTTGGAAAGTCCCGAGAGGTGTTACTTGGTATTAGGACTATGGGGAAACCCCATAGAATTGACAGGTTTGCTGGTGGGGGTGGGGCGTGTGGGTGTGGGGGGTGAAACTCAGTGGACAAAATCTACAACAACAACAAATTACACTTGTATAGCACCCTTCACGTCGGAAAGATAAAATCTACAGCTTTCTTGGTGAACATTTCCTCGGAACGATATGATTTTTCCCAGCAAGGTTGGCAGGTATGTCTCACACACACACACACACACAGGCGCGCGCGTGTCCGACAAGGGAAGACAGATCGGCGGCCGGGCTTTCAGCCTCTCCGCCCCGACTCTTTGCAACGCCATCCCGCGACCCCTCCGCCTCGCTCTCCGCGGGCTGGCGCTGACGTAACGGGGGTGTGGGGGGAGACTCGGGGGGGAAAATCTACAACAACGACGACAACGCGGTCTCCCGCCTCCTTTCGAGGCACGACTCGAGACCCTCCTTTTCGTTGACCGTGCCTTCGGCCGCCCTCCTCGCCCCTCTGACCGCCCTCCTCGCCCCTCTGACCACCCTCCTCGCCCCTCTGACCACCCTCCTCGCCCCTCTGACCACCCTCATCCCAACCCTTGACCCCCCCCACCCCACACCCCACACCCCGACGACGACGATCTGACTCTCCAGCTCCTCGGGACGTCCTCCCGACCTGAAAGGCGCTATATACAAATGTAATGTCGTCGTCGTTGTTGTTGTTGTGGTTGTGGTGACGAGGAGCCGCGAGAACATTCCAGTGGGAGGAATCCGGCCGTGGAGCTGCTGTGACGTCACCCCGATCAGTCACGCCCCCTCCCCCCGTCCCACCCACCCCTCCGGCCTCTGACGTCAATGGACGGCATTACGTCAAAGGGAAGGCAGCCGCCGGCGGCGTCGGTTGCCGGGGCGACGGCGCTGAGCGTGATAGTTGCTGCGGGTAACGGTTGCTGGGGTAACGGGTGGCGGGAGGAAGGGGGCCCCGCGCGCGCGCGCGCGCGCGCTGAGGCCGACGCGTTGAGTGACAGTTGCCGAGTGACGGTTGTTGGGCGGGGCGGGGGCGGTGGTGGTGACGCGCGCTGAGCGCTGACGTGAGCCCGCGCGCAGCCGGGGTGGAGCGGAAGTGACGCGCGCGGCGGACAGGAAGCGGGGCTGTGTAAACGTCGGAGCCGGCGACTGGACTGGAGGTGCAGCGGCTTCATGTCAGAGATGTGTAGGTGGGTCCCGGGGTGTGGCAGAGAGACCGAGAGACAGATACCGGGAGGGTCCGCACGGGAGATGGCGCCGGGACTGTCCTGTCGGCCTGTCTGACAGCTGACCTGCCACGTCCCGGGTGATGGCGCCGCCTGTTTTTATTGCTCACAACAGCCGCCGCCGCCGCCTCCTCCTCCCCGGGGCCCTGTGCGCTCCCTGAGCCCGGGGCCGCCAGGCGACGCGGCGGCGCGTTAGCTCGAGCCGAAACCCCGCCGCTTGTGTTTGATGGGCGCCCAGTCAGTCAGTCAGTCAGTCAGTGCGGCGGTGGGGTTTTTTTTTTTGCGCGCGAACCCCCTCGGGATTGGGCGACGGCGCTGAGAGCGCACGGGCTCCGGCCAGGGAGCGGGCCTCGGGAGCGAGCGCGCGCGCACGGGTTGTTTTTATTGGCGTTTAAAAATAATACTACTGCTAATAATAGTAATAACGGCCACAACACTAACCCTTGCATTTGATATAGCGCCTCATCGCGTGGTTTGGGACGTGTCAAACCGCTTCACGGGATAGTTAGTGTCAAGCGGAGCGACTTGACTGCGTGTGTGTGTGTGTGTTTGCGGGTGGAACCCCCCCCGCAGCCACTTGCACACAGCGGTGTCCCGCAAAGAGTCGTGGATTGAGCCTTTCTTCAAAAATTAAGGATGAAGTAATTAATGGGGGTGGGGGGGGGGGTTGTTGAGGGGGAAGCTGTTCTGTGGGAGACCGCACTGCGGGGGCTTCTGTGGGGAAACATGCGATTAATTCTCTGCATAGGTGAAGATCCGAGGCTTCATTACTCTTCTAAATGAGGATATAAATACTGTGTACGGTAGTTCTTGCTAAGCTACTTGTGATTTATTCTATTTAAAGTTACGGTATCCCTTTCTCTGATCTGTTGACCTTACCTCTCTTACATTTCTGTAGAGCGATTTAAAAGGTGTCCCTTTCAAAAGTTATTATGAAGAAGGTAATGCTATCACCTCTTATCCAACCTCACCCAAAGGTAATGAGGTGACGTTTGAATCAGATTGCCGATCATGCCACTTTTTAGTTTGCTGCCAGGAAGTGTAACCATACTCAGACAAGAACTCTTCATTTCTTCCTCTTCCACCATCCTATTACCATAGAAGCATAGAATCAAGTTAGCTGGCCGACAATAATAATAATAATCCTTGCATTTGATATGGCGCTTTTCACGTCGGGAGGACGTCTCAAAGTGCTTCACAGAACACACTGTAAAGTGAATTGACTGTATATTTGTGGGCGAACGCAACAGCCAATTGCGCACAGCAATGTCCCACAAACAGTCATAGATTGAAAATGACCAATTTATTATTGTTTTTGGTTTTGGAGGGACTATTATTAGGCTCTGTGTGGAGTAAGGAAACTTGCCCAAGGTTTCACCCTCTGCCTGGAATTGAACTCAGGTCTCTCACTTGCAAAGCGAGTGCTCTAACCACTGAGCTACAGGACTCCACATGGACAAAGACACTAGCAGAGTGTCTTTGTCCATGTGAACCAATTGGTCTAATCCCACTCTCCTCATATTCTTTAATATTAGGACTCCCTTAGTGTGCTCGCTTCGAAAGGACCTGGGTTCAATTCCCAGGTGGGGCAAAGTCTTAGGCAAATTTCTTCACTCAAAATGCCTTTGTTTACCTAGCAGTAAGTATTAAGCCTGTTGTTAATTGATTGGCAGATTCCTTTCTGCAGGAAATGGTTTGTGTGTCAGCCTGGCACAGTGGTAGCACTCTCACGTCTGGGTCAGAAGGTTGCGAGTTCAAGCCCCACTTTGGGTCTGGAATCACATCGTCTAAGGTGACACTCCAATGCAGTTCTGGGGGTGGGGGGGAGAATGTTGCATTTTCAGAGGTGCCATCCTTCACGAGACTTTAAACACACAGGCTTGACTATGCAAACTCACTGCTTGTGGGCCACCCCAACTCCTCCCTCCATAGCCTGCAAATCATCCAAAACTTTCCTGCACCAGTCTCCGTGACCTTATCACCCCCATTCTCGTCCGACTCCACTGGCTTCCCATCACGCAGAGGATACAGTTCAAGATCCAGGTCCTACCCTTCAAAGTCCTCCATGGCCTTGCTCTCCCTACCTCCTGTACACCTCCTCCGCTCAGTGGGCTTCGGCCTGCTTCCCGTCCCCCGCCTCGCCTGCCCCACCATTGGCGGGTGGGTCTTCAGCCACTCTGCTCCCACTCTCTGGAACTCCATTCCGCAGTCCCTCTGCCTCACACCCTCCCTTGTCTGCTTTATCTCAAGACCCTCCTCTTCGACTGTGCCTTCGATCACCCTCCTTCCTCCAAACCCGATCCCCAGCTCGGGTTCGAAACACTGACTGCCCAGCGCCTTGGGACATCCTCCTGACGTGAAAGGCGCTATATAAATGTAATTTTGTTGTTGTCGTTGCTTGTTCAAGTGGATGTTAAAGGTCCCATAGCACTATTAGGAAAGAGAAGGGATTTTTTTCCAACAATCGCCCAAAATAAAATTGGTCACTCACTCCATGGCTAATTGGAGGATAATGACGTGCTAATGCATTATATCAAACAGATTGTTATTACTATTTCTCCTCTTCAAACATTTAACGCCCTTTTAAAATAATTAATGGCTTTGCCTCAACTACAGTTTATGCCAGAGGATGACACATATGTCTGTCATGGGTTCTTTTGTGAGTCCTGTAGCTCAGTGGTTAGAGCACTCGCTTTGCAAGCAAGAGACCTGGGTTCAATTCCAGGCAGAGGGCGAAACTTTGGGCAAGTTTCCTTACTCCACACAGAGCCTAATAATAATCCCTCCAAAACCAAAAACAATAATAAATTGGTCATTTTCAACCTACGACTGTTTGTGGGACATTGCTGTGCGCAATTGGCTGCCGCGTTCGCCCACAAATATACAGTCAATTCACTTTACAGTGTGTTCTGTGAAGCGCTTTGGGACGTCCTCCCGACGTGAAAAGCGCTATATCAAATGCAAGGATTATTATTATTATTAACATCTACCTAAACAGGCATACAATTTTACGTCTTGTCTGAAAGATGCACCTCTGACAATCCAGTACATCCCTAGCACTGCATTGGAGTATCAGCCTAATCTATGAGTTCAAAGACCCAACATGGGGCATGAGCACACAGCCTCAGGCAGGAGAGCTACCAATTGAGCCATGCTGATGTAATTTTTTAAAAAAATTGTGTCTTAAAATCATAGATCTCTTTGTAAGATTTATTTTTGATATAATATTTCTGTTAATCTATATTTAGTTTGTTTTTTGTTTGGGGCACAATGTTATCTCATTGATAATAGTGAAGAATAAGATCGGACACTGAACGATTTCAAATAATCAACCTAATCATTCTTAGATCCTCAGCTGTAGATATTTGTTTGCCTTGAGTGGGATTCATTTTTTCAATTACTTCAATTTACAGTTAATGCGTAAGAATTGCCTTTGTTTAAATAAATGAGAACACTGGTCCTTATATTTTTGCCCACCACAATGTCATTTTGATGAATATGTTACAGCTGCACTGAATGAATGAAACAGACAGCTGCTCAATAACAGAATTTCTATTGTTTGATTGAATGGAGATTTATCAAAGTATTAGAACTCTAATGAACTGTCCAACATCTTTTTGAGTACTGATATACAGTGGAGGCTCGCCCTTCGAGTGCCAGCAGTTAATGCAGGCGAGCTTCTAAGCCAGCTAATTTATTTATATTTTTACAGATTGATCCTGAATAAACCATAACAGTACCTTACTATTAGCATTTTGTCTCAATTTAGATTTTTTTTTACAGTATTTCACTTTAAATAGTTTTTTTTTAACCTTTCTTTGAGCTTAGAATTTTGACCTGTTTTGTGCCAGTTTTCAAAACAGGTCAAAATTCTAAGCTGTTAAACATCCTCCAGTTTTAATTTTTATAACTATAGGAGGCATCCCAGGGTCAAGTACACAAATGCTTGTTTTTTATACCACGTATTCATTATATAGTATTACTAACTACAGTAAATCAGGTGATTGTATTTAAGGAAATCAGGGTGAGATTGCTGAGCTGCTGCTTTTAATGGAAGCCAAGTTAATTAGGGAATGTGCTGCTTTTAAAAATGATAATAAAGTAGATTTGTCTGGTGAAGCAAGGATCCAAAAGGGAGAATAGAGAATCCGATTACCCCTCCCCCAGGCCAGATGGCCTAATGATTTGCATGTTTTTCTGCCAGATACAGAACTGTGATATCAGCATGGAATATACTGGAATATACCTCATTACCTGACTTCCTTTCTGATCTTCCGCTTGGTTTTCTATCTAGAGACATAGAATATAACAGAAAGGAGATAATGTTGAACTTGTACAAGGCATTAATTAGGCCTCAGAGTATGGTGTATTGTTTTTTGGGCACCCCATTATAAGAAGAATATAAAAGCAAAGGAAAAGATGCAGCGTAGCTTCATTTGGATGTCACCGTAGTTGAAAAGATTGAGCTATGAAGCGAATAGATTATTTCGACAAGTCAATAATGAGAGGGTTGGCAAGTGGTTGGCAAGATTATCAGAAAAGGAATTAAAGGGGAGGTTAGAAAATATCTTTACACAGCGGGTGGTGGGAATATTGTATTTTCTAGTACAAATTATTGACTATCAAGGAGGATAATCACGATTGCTCATTTGACATTTGTAAAATAGGGAGCTATTGCTCCTGAATGAGTCAATAAATTATTTTAAAATGGAATATTAAATGGCATGGGAAGCAAGCAGGAGAGACTCATTCTGTACCTTAATTTCGCAAATTTAAAATGACCGATTAATGACCAACCTCCTTGCTGGAGAAGTAATTGAGGCATCTTGGGGACTTTTAAGCATTGTGATGGATTTCTGCATGTGTCAGACACTGGCCTGACCAAAAAATTGAAGTTCATTATTTCCTATGAACCAAAATGAATATTATCTTTTTTTCTATTCAGGTCTACTTCATCATGGATAGTGAGGACAACCCAGAATTAGCTACTGCGGAAGAAAAAATTGCACATTGGAAAGAACTTGCTCTGAGATATAAGAGGAGGTTAGTGTTACTTGCGTTAGATTTCATCTAAATGTGTCCTTTCCTTGGCTGTCACATTGTAAATAATTTGAGCTATTTGACATGAATGCACACCTGCACTGGGTTTGAGTATATGGACATCACAATGGGCGAAACTCACAAATTATGGAAAGAAATTAATACTTCAATATGCTTTTTAAGATGTGTGGCAGTTATTTTTCTGATATCAAATATTTTCTTGTACATTTCATCTTCAATGTGTTTACCCAACTCTGTTTAATCTTTAGTTAATTCATCCATTTTTGCAGCATTAAGTTCCTTTGGAAGAATATTTTTGCCTAAAATAGTTTGAGCAATGTAGAAACATAACATTTACAACACAGGAGGGGTCCATTGTACCTGTTCGGGCCTAGCTCCTCTAGTGGAGCTAATTACTCTTATCCCGAATCCCTGCTATGTCTCCATGCCTTTGATATATTTCTACTTATGCACAGTTTTTTTTTACTGCCAGACAATACTACATCCTAGCTGCTCTTTCTGCAAATGTCATAACAGTGCAACAAATAGCGTCCACTGGATTGCCATTAAGTATTTGAAGGCACATTGCACAATGAACCTTGTAGTAATTGTTGCATTTGATATGGTACCTATAATCATCAAAACATATCAAAGCACTTCACAGATAATTTCTGTCTAGTGTAGTGTCTGTCTATCAGTAAATAGGATCAACAGCAAATGCATGCACAGCATTGACCCTGAAATACCCGTGAACTGAATGAACAATTTATTTGAAGGATTGTTGGTTACAGCAAATATAGCTAAAGTATGGAGTCTCAGTGACGAATATGAATTTATGGCTGTAATGTCAGGGCTACACCCAAGTGCATGTGTTGATCACAGGCAAGTGCTCTTATTACCCTTACACCCTTTCCTTTACTGAAGTATTGCTTCTGGACTAACCTCTACTGAACAGCCTGTGGATCTGGCATTTCATATGTTGTGCACTGTAATTGCTCATACCTACGTTTGCTCTGGAGCCGAAAGGAAACAGGTCTGAGCAGCATTTGCGTTACAACAACAACAAAATTACATTTGTATAGCGCCTTTCACGTTGGGAGGACGTCCCAAAGCGCTAGACAATCAGTGCTTCGGAGTCTCGGGATCGGGGAGGGTGGAGGGCAGGGTAAAGGAGGTTCTGAGGGAATGGTTCCTTGAATTAGCGTGGGTGTTGTTCTTGTTGTTGTCTTAGCTCTTAGCCTCTAACCTTTATGTAGTAGTTGAAACGGATACATATTGTTGGTTTAAATATCAGTCAGATGAATCATTTATGATGGCAACAGACATGATAAATTTAATTGCCAAATTCCCACTGTTGCTCTGGAGTTAAATATATGTTAAGATCTTGTCTGATTGTTAACTAGGAAAAGCATCAGTTGGGTAATACATTTTCCCTTCTCCATATTTTAAAATTGTATCATAGGTCTGTTACAAACTCTGCAATTTCAAAAAAGGATGCTTTATAACCAGAGATCTTCGTCATGGCTACTGTGTGTCCCACAATTCAGATTATTTATCTCTAGTTTCCATTAGCCTTGTTCAAAATGTTGAATGTGATTGCTTAACATGTTAGTGTGAATGTTTCCCTAATTTTTTGTGCTAAATATGTGATTTGTAATAAAGCTTGAAGGTTTGAAGTATTGGAAAAGGTGGAGAATTAGATATTTTTCCCTCTGATTAATTAATTCCCAGGTTGTAACGATAATTTATATTCCAGGGAGCAGTGGAATGTGGAGACTGCAACAGGAGTGCAATCCAGATCACTGAAGGCAGCACCAAAATTGTAAATGTTTACACGCAAAGTTTCCAAGTCGTAAATCTTTGTTTTCTAGTCATGTATCTTCCCTGGAGTTTGGGGAGATTTGTGCAGCGTGCTAGTGATGGAAACTGGAAGCATTATTTAGCCTGCTGTCTATTAAAGCATCAACAATTCAATGATCTATGTGTAACCATTTTCAGTCAGGCACTAAACTTTTAAGTTCTTGGTCTTCTGCAACTGAAACTATTGGTCATCTCTTGGTCATTGTATCCTAAAGTCAATGCTACATAATTGTATCTACATATCTACAATGTAGATCTACAATCTACATTGTATCTACAATGCTACATAAATTTTGTATCCTAAAATCAATATCTACTCTATAGTCTCAGCCATCCAGGTAATCAATAAAGAAGATAGATACAGCAAACAGTTTGGGACACGACATGTCAAGCGATTGCCAGGATGGTGGAAGGAGAACTGGGTGGATTTTGATCTTCTTTCACCTAACAAATTCTTCATGTTCTTATATTATGTTCTTATATTAATTCCCTTTTATCAGATAGTAATTAACTTCATGACTACCTGTTCTGGTTATTTCCATTCGAGGATTTGCATGTGACCTGACCTTTTAAAGGAGATTTTGATTATAACTGGAAATTTACAATCTTAATTCCTGTAACACTGTACTGTAACATAGCGATGTTGCAATGTACATGTACATGACACACTCAGGTTTTCATGTCAGTCTTATTACATAGTAACAGGTATAGCTTCAGGTAAGAGTGGGCCATTGGTCCATCTGGCTACCCATCCAACTTTCCAAAATACTATCGATCCTATTAACACCCAATAAACCTGATTTTTTTAAATTTGCATTTAATTTAAGTTAACTTGTCGAGTTCCTTTCTGAAATTCTTCCTTGTTCCTTTTTTAGACTAATTCCTCGTTCCATCATCTGTGTTAGAAGTTTGTTCCACACGCCAACGCCCTTTTTTTTACTAAAGACACTTCTCCTGTACTTTCTGTTTACTTTCAATTCTATTTTGAAGCTATGACTTGCAAGTTTTTTAAGGAAGAGAAAAATGTATCTTGATCTAAATTTTCTAACCCCATTATCATTTTAAGCATCCCTATCATTACGCTGCACAACCCAGCATTTCTCAGGTAACAAGGCTGTGCCTAGAAATAACAATAATCCTGGACAAGCTGAAGTGGGTTGTGTGAATGACGCATAATCTTTCAGTGAAACACAGCCTCAATACTTAAATATACAGAACAAAATCTTCCTGGCTATGAATCAGTAACAATAACTTTATAATTATGTAATGTCTTTTTAGACAGATTGTATTTAGAAAACAGAGTTATTCTTAGTTTGTGCACGTAAATTATCTATGGCAATTCTAGGATCTATTTAGATTTTAGAAAGTCAGTATAAGCTTGGCAGCCTCCTATTTTGTATTTGTGTATAGCGCTAAATCCTGTTGTATGTTGTCCAGTTTTCAGGAAGCACGTGAAGAGCTGGAAGAATTCCAAGAGGGAAGCAGGGAGCTTGAAGCTGAGTTAGAAGCACAGCTGGAGCAAGCAGAACACCGAAACAGAGACTTAGTGGCTGATAACCAAAGGCTAAAGCTCGAATTGGAAGCACTGAAGGTAAGATTGCTGTGAATTGTATGTCCCAATGGAATTAATGTTGGGCTGTTATTTGTATTGCATATAAATTTCATGTTGTGTTTGTTTGGTGCAAGAATGCAATTTACCTGTAGTAATCCAACTTGTCAGCAAATTGACCCATTGATTGATTTAGGATGTTGGTAAACAGTGATAGAAAAAATTGTACTCAGTCAGTTTGTCCAAAAGTGCTAGAGTGAGATTTACCCACATTGAAAGCTCAACCAAGCTTTGTATTTGGCTGAATTAGCTGTTTGAAATGGTACGTCAGGCTACCTGGTTTCTGTGGCTAGCAATTAAAGTATTACATTTGCATAATGCCTCCTGACATCATCAACCTGTCCCTCTCCTCTGGCTCTGTCCCCATTCCATTAAAAACTGCCATCATCACGCCCACCCTGAAAAAACCCTCCCTTGATGCGTCGCAGCTATCAAGTTACCGGCCCATCTCCAACCTCCCCTTTCTCTCCAAGGTCTTGGAAAGAGTTGTCGCCTCCCAACTGCGCTCTTTCCTTTCCACCCATTCTCTTTTCGAACCCCTTCAGTCAGGTTTCCGTGCTGCCCATAGCACAGAAACTGCCCTGGTCAAGGTCACCAATGATATCCTGACCATCTGTGACCAGGGCTCCCTCTGTCTCCTCGTCCTCCTCGACCTATCGGCAGCATTCGATACGGTCGACCACGCTATCCTACTCCACCGCTTGTCCTCCCACCTCAACCTTCAAGGCACTGTCCTTGAATGGTTTAGGTCGTACCTTTCTCACCGTCTTCACTTTGTCTCGACGAATGGCTTCTCCTCCACCCCCCGTACTGTCTCATGTGGTGTCCCTCAGGGCTCTGTCCTCGGTCCCCTCCTCTTCACCCTCTATATGCTCCCCCTCGGTGACATCATCCGCAGACATGGAGTTAACTTCCACATGTATGCGGATGACACCCAACTCTACCTTTCCTCCTCTACTCTCAACTCCACGACCACCGATGTCCTGACAGCTGCCTGTCCGACATCGAGTCCTGGACGAGAGACAACTTTCTTCAGCTCAACGTGCGAAAAACCGAGGCCCTCCTGATTGGCTCACGTCAGCGCCTCCGCACCTCAGGCGCTGACACCATCAGCATCCAAGGCTGCACTCTCCACCTCTCAAAGCCAGTCAGGAACCTCGGCGTTTTGTTCGACCCTGAGCTGTCCTTTCTCCCTCACATCCGCACCACAACTGGCACCGCCTTCCATCACCTCCGGAACATCGCCAGACTACGGCATTACCTCACCCCTCACGCTGCTGAAACCCTGGTCCACGCCTTTGTCACCTCAAGGCTGGACTATGGGAACTCTCTCCTCGCCGGCCTTCCCGCCACCTCCCTCCACAAGCTGCAGGTCATTCAGAACTCTGCAGCTCGTGTACTGTCCCGCACCAGGCTTCGGGACCACATCACTCCCACCCTCGCTCGCCTCCACTGGCTCCCCATCCCCCAGAGGATTGATTTCAAGATCCTCATCCTCACCTACAAGGCCATTCACGGCCTTGCTCCCTCCTACCTCTCCAACCTACTATCCCCCTACCTACCTGCCCGTACCCTCCGTTCCTCTGGCTCCGGTCTGCTCCACGTCCCCCGCCCCAACCGCCCTACCATCGGTGGTCGGGCCTTCAGCCTCTCAGCCCCCAGGCTCTGGAACTCCATCCCCCAGTGCCTTCGCCTTGCTTCCTCCCTTTCCTCCTTCAAGGCCGGTCTCAAAACCTTTCTCTTTGACCGTGCCTTCAGCTCCCCTCTCGACTCTCTTCCCCCTCCTCGCTCCCTCCCTTCCCTCCCCTCACCATTTCCCCCCTCCTTGCTCCCTCCCTTCCCTCACCCTGACCATTTCCCCCCTGCTCGGGACATGACCCAACTGTGCAGCGCCTTGGTACGTCCTCCTGACGTGAAAGGCGCTTTATAAATGGAATCTTGTTGTTGTTGTTGTTGAGCTAAGAAGGAGAAAATCGGCCAAAGTTCCCACTCTTGATCACTGTGCATTCCCCCTTGATGGAAAGTGTATGTGTGGAGAATGAGTATGTGAATGAAGACAGAATAGGCTCATTTGTGATTCTTCTGTCATAGAAGTGGTGGAAGTTATCTATAAACTTTAAATCTTTTCAATTGGGATTCTTAGGGCCAAAAGAGAGGCAACAATTAGCCATGAATCTTGAATTAGTTTCTATAAATCTGTTGCTGCACAAAGAGCTCTGTTTGTTCAGATAGTAATTTCCGGTGAACTACTTTAATTTTCCCAATTCAATTACAGACTCGGCTTTGATTTCATTCAGGTAGTTGTACATGTAAACACTGTGGTTAATGAATTGTAGATCTAATTGGTGCTGGGGTTTGCAGATGGGCCAATTCCAAATCCTGATGAATCCCAAAAGATTATTTTGTTTTAAAAGTCTTCTTACGGTTACCAAATATAGTAATCTTATATTCCTTGTATTTGATATATCATCTACATCAATGAAATGTCTCAAAGAGCTTCACAGGTAATTGCTGTCAAGTGCAGTATAATACTTACATATGCAACAGGTCCCAGAAACAGTCATAAGAACAACTTGAATTTATAATGCACCTTTCATGCATGGCAGCATCTTGGCATGCATAAATAAAGCCATAAATGAAGGATTAATTTATCTGGAAGATTGTTAACAGAACATTGGGAGAAAATTTGGAATAATATCCCAGGATATTTATCATCTACTTGAACAGACAGATGACAGCTCAGTATAATGTCTCATTTGAAGCGCCTCTAATCTCACCTAATACTGCACTGCTCTGTCAGTCTGGGATGTGAGCTCAATGTCCCATTGTGGGGCTTGAAGCTGACCTTTTTTTTAGAGGCAAGAGTACTACCGACTGAGCCAAACCGACAGCTAAATATAATTTTTACCAATTATTTCTGCAGGAAAAGCTTGAGCAGCAGAACGCACAAAGTTATAAGCAGATCTCTATGCTAGAAGATGACTTGGGTCAGACAAGAGGTATCAAAGATCAACTACATAAATATGTAAGAGAGTTGGAGCAGGCAAATGATGACTTAGAAAGAGCTAAAAGGTAAGGTGGTACTTTCCTATCATGGGTAATATGTTAACAGTTTTTCTTTGTTGATTTGATGATAATAATCCTTGCATTTGATATAGCACCTTTCGCATCGGGAGGACATCCCAAAGCGCTTCACGGGATGCACAGCGAAGTGACTGTGTACTTGTGGGCACTACATCAGAAATTGACCCCCAATTTGTCTCAACTCAAGTGAAAAGTTCAGGCGTCAGTTTTGTTTTATTTTTGGTCACTGCACAGCTGTGACGGGTAGTGAGTAAGACCTGCATTTGGCCACTGGCTATTCAGCCCAATGCTAAAGGGCTATAATGCAGTGACCACGACTTTGCTGGGCTTTCCCAAAGACTGGAGAAGGTACAGTAGCCAGACCAAGATTAAGTGATACTTTCAAGTAGTCTTGTATTCTACTTGTGGTAAGATTATGTAGATAGTTCATAATAATAATAATCCTTGCATTTGATATAGCGCTTTTCACGTCAGGAGGACGTCCCAAAGCGCTTCACAGAACACACTGTAAAGTGAATTGACTGTATATTTGTGGGCGAACGCGGCAGCCAATTGCGCACAGCAATGTCCCACAAACAGTCGTAGATTGAAAATGACCAATTTTATTATTGGTTTTGGTTTTGGAGGGATTATTATTAGGCTCTGTGTGGAGTAAGGAAACTTGCCCAAGGTTTCGCCCTCTGCCTGGAATTGAACCCAGGTCTCTCGCTTGCAAAGCGAGTACTCTAACCACTGAGCCACAGGACTCCGATGCATATAGTTTGCATATTTGACAGGATGAATAAATTAAAAGAACTTCTAAACTGAAGGCTCAGAAACCAAAACTTCTGAACTCAATACTCGGTGGGCACGAACTGCTGAGCCCCATAAACTAGCAGGGTTATATGCATCTCTGGTAAGGTGGTATTATCCACTCTGCTAAGGCTAAACTGCAATTGTCATCGGCACCCCTGGCTAGGGAGAAATAAGTCAGCCAGAATCATCACACCTTCTTCATAGAATCATAGAATTATACAGCACAGAAGGAGGCCATTCAGTCCATTGGGTCTATGCCAGCTCTTTGAAAAGAGCTTCCAATCAACCCCACTCCCCCGCGCTCACCCCAAATGACTGCAAACTTGTCCTTCCCAAATAATTATCTACTTCTCTCTTAAAAGCTGTTATCAAATCAGTTTCCACCACCCTTTCAGGCAATGCATTCCAGATCCAAACAACTTGCTGTGTAAAAGAAAAAAAAATTCTCCTCACCTCCCCTCTGTTTCTTTTAAAAACTATTTTAAACTATTTCTTACTCCCAACTTATTTCCATTATAAAATATATGGTGGACATCGAGTGAAGGAACTTTGGAGATAATTTTCTTCCTCTCCCTCGCTCTCACTTCCTTACCTTCCCACCCACACTCATCTTGTTTTGACAACATCATAATGCGTAAACTTACAGGTGCCATGTGGAATTGTAGTGGAATTATTTATAACCATATCTCCTTATGTTCAGGGCTACAATAGTATCACTGGAAGACTTTGAACAACGGTTGAACCAAGCGATTGAAAGGAATGCCTTTTTAGAAAGTGAACTTGATGAGAAGGAATCACTACTCGTTTCTGTTCAGAGGTTAAAAGATGAAGCTCGAGGTGCGTTTAATTTAAATCGTTTATTCTGTTACAATCCCAGTTTACAGTTTATTTATCTTCCAGGGCTTTATTCTGTGGGGTTGTATTGCTGTCTGCAATTCAGATCTGCAGCCAGTAAAATTATAGCTTTCTGACTGAAGAAGCTTTCACTCAGCACATCAGCAGAGTGGTATTGTCTTTAATGTTGTCTTGTCATTTATGACTGTTTCATTTCAGGGTATTAAGATTCCCCAAACCTGCATGAATTCAGATACCTTAAGTATTTATTCTATAATACAATACTTTACTAAGAAAAACAAGCTCTAAATGAAATCGAGACATTCATTCTTGATGAATGAATTAGCAGCAGTTATTCCTGTTACACTGGTATATTGGATAAATACTGTAAAGAAGAAAAAAACAAAAACCTTTGATATTTGTACTACATGCTGATTCTGGAACTATAATGGGTGTTGCATTTTTTTCTGCTTATGCTGGGGTGTAATCGTTTGTTGCATAGTTTTAAGCCTGTTTGATCAGAAATGTTGTGGATCAGTGAACATGTGAAGTAAAGCTGTCTGGAGACTCGCTCTACGCTCGCAACATGTAGTGTTATAATGAGCCAATACAATGGGAGATAAAATTCACGCATGCACGCCTTACAGTGAGCATTCTCTGCTGTCAGTGGGCTTTTGTTTTTAACTACAATCCTGTGGGTACGTTTTTGCAGACCTTCGGCAGGAGTTAGCAGTACGTGAAAGGCAAGACGTAACGAGAAAGTCTGCGCCCAATTCACCCACACTGGAGTGTGAGAAGATGGATACAGCTGTGCAAGCTTCCCTCTCTCTACCGGCTACTCCTGTAGGCAGAAGCGGAGAAAATGGGTTCACATCATCTAAAGGTATGTCTGACTTCTGAATCCCCCAGAACATCTGCTGAATCCAAAAAATCGATTTTAGTCTTTATTGTTGATTTAACCGATATATCTCAACAAGAACAAAAATAGTCTTAAAACTGCGTTCAGTTGAGATCCAATGTTAAGTCATTGTTTATTCAAGTGGAATACTACCCTCCCCTAAACACGGAAGATCCAATTGTATATTTTGCCAATTACAAAGGACTTCTACTAATGTATGTGCCTTTGTGTATGTGCATGAACATCTCTATAGTGTTACCTATTGTTTTCCAGCAATAGCAAACGGCTTTGGCACAACTCCTTTAACTCCATCAGCAAGAATATCTGCACTAAATATTGTTGGTGATCTATTAAGAAAAGTAGGGGTGAGTACCTATGCTATCAAAGGGTTGTGATTGGATAGTAATAATAAGAATACTTTTAGACATGTGCATAACCTTTGTTTCTGATCACTACTAATTGGTGTTGGTAATAACAGTAGGAGGTCATTGTTAATTTAACCTTGGTTAGGACCCTGTATTCCTGTAGCTGAGACCAAGCTTTTCTTGGAATGTCATTCCAAAAATATACAGTGTCCCCCCTCTGGTCTGCTTCCTGTCACTGTAAGGAAGTCTTATTTCCTTTAAGCTGCAAGTGCCACTGTGGGAAACCATGGAACTGCATGTTTAATAGGAGGGCAGGGCAGGCAAGGTACAAAGGTACTAGAACCATCTGTGCTGTTGTTTTGGGGGCTGACGATAATAAATTAATAGTTCAGTGATAATAATAATAATAATCCTTGCATTTGATATAGGCATATCACATATTCGAGATGTCTCAAAGTGCTTCACACAGAATATACTGCAAAGTCAATTGACTGTGTATTTTATGGGCCAAACGATCATGTAAGCGCTCTGAGATGCCGTCCAGCATGAAGGGTGCTATATAAATGCAAATTGTTGTTGTTATGTAATAGCCTGAACAAACTTCAAAGATTGATTTTTTATAAATAAAAAAAATATTTTATCAATGTAGCCCAAATAATTTGTTCAAATAAATCACACGCAGTACAGTCCCAACAGCTCAAACCACTGCTGTCCCTTACATGTAATAAAATAGCCAACATATGACCCAACATTTCCATAATTTGAATTCTATTCACTTATGAGCAGCCTTTCAGTTGAACCATATGAAATGAGTGGAACATGTTTCTGTATATTACACCTATGTTCAAAATCCTTTATTCTCTTTCAAATTATTATTTTATTTTAGGCCTTAGAATCAAAGTTAGCAGCATGCAGGAATTTTGCAAAGGATCAGACATCACGGAGAAGTTACACATCTTCAGGGAACGGGACGGCTGCTGTGGTCAACAGCACAAAATTTTCAAATTCAGGGCTTGCAACATATTTTGACAAAGGGTAAGTAATTTAATCCACATCAACAGACCAAAACCAATGTCTTTTGGGAATCACTAGGCATTTGTTGATTCCCAATCTTTTCCAAAAACGTAAAAACAACTTTGATGTGTTAAAATTGGAAGCGGACTAGGATCCCACCTACAGTGCCCGCATATTCTAGGGCTGTGCTTTGAGTTGTTTCTTGTTTCAACTCTTTTATACACCTTTGCTCAAGGTGGAGGGGAGGGCAGGACAATACCAACCTCTCTAAACGGTATGTTTGAGCCAGATAGGTAGATCCACCTTTGACAGTTTACCTGTTCGAGGAGTGTGCTTTGTCTGAACTAGTGAGAAGCCACTCATTTCCCCGTAGTACAAAGATGAGGGTGTACAACAATAATGAAGTAAGCTCAAGAGCCCAGTTAAGAGGTAAATTAAGTGTTCAGCAGTGGAGAAAAAGTAGATGGGTCCCAGACCTATAACATTTCAAAGCAGTTCATCTGGTCTGGAGTGCTGCAGTATACCTTCTGCCACGAGAGGCACTGTCAGCATTTGTGTTGCAATGGATGAAACTCATCCTTTCATTTGTAATCACTTAGGCAAAAATCTTGATTTCGGCACTCATTAATCACCATTGCTACAAAGAATGTGACGTATTGAATGTTGGAGCTATCGTGGTTTAAATGTCGACCTGTAATTGGCCTGTGTGTTTAAGTCCGTGTGTTTTCTTTTATCAGAAGCGAAAAAGTCTTTTTCACCAAGTTTATCATTGGGTAATTGATTTTATTGTTTTCATTTTCAAATGATTGCCTGCATGCTGTCAGGCGATGGCAATAACAGCTTGATTTTAAACTGTGTCTGTACTAACTGCATGGGGAATGTCAGTGGCTCTGCAGCAAGGAGTGAAAGCCAACCTTGAAGCGCCCAGATTTACACATGGAATCTGATGTTTTTTGCTAGAACTCAGCGTTCATGTTTACTCAATCCATGGCTTTGAGATCATGCCCATTAGCTGTGCACGGTTCTCTTTGAAATCAGATTGATAAAACATCCCTTTCACTGGTGCTGGCTAAGTGTTTTGTGAATTGAGTTCTTGCCCTAAAATCTCCTGTAGACATGAGCTGAGTTTGTTATCACCGACAAAGACGTATCATTTACCTCTGGGCAAATGACACCTACAACTGGGTTTGCGTTTCTGTTTCAGATGTAGGAAGGTTATCATCGTGGCTGAAACCCTGCGTGATAGTCCTGTTTCGTGCTTTTGCAAAAGTCCATTCCACCAATTTAGTTTCTCCAAGAAATGGATTTGGTTTCTGGGTGGGCTTTCTAACCCAGAAGATGTTTGTGGTTGAGCTTTGGTTCTGCACCGCAAGGGGACGCTGCTGGGTTTGACAAATCAAATGTGCATTTTTCTTAAAGCTTCTGGTGAATTACTCAGCATCAGATTTGTGGTGGACTTTGACCTCTGTAAATGAACGTCGTAGACCATAAGATGGTCGTACACAGCTGAAATTTAATATGAGTCTGAAAAATAAGAATTTTACAGTAAAATGAAGTCAAATGTACTGCAGTAATCTCGTGGGAATGGTTCATCCCCTGGCTGTGTTTTAAAGGTGTGGGTTTTAATCTTATAATAGAGGTGCAGATTGATTGCCATGTTTGCCTACATAACATTCCATATCATATAATATTTTATTATTTCCAGATTATCATCCCATTCTTTCTTTTATTGATTCTTGGTTCTGGGTGCCTTGTGACTTGGGTGGATGTGTCCTGTTCTGCTGTTTCAAAAATATGTGTAGAACTTCTCTTATATATTCCTTGACTAATGTCAAATTACTCCCAAATTCAAATTAATTGTCTGCTCAGTTCATTGTTTGTGCGACATTGTTAACAAAGATTTGTTTTTTTTGCCAATATAACTACATTCACCTCATTTTTAATCAATTATCTTTTGTAAATCACTTTTTAAATTAAAGCTCCATATAAATACCACTTATTTTAGTTATTACATTGAAAGCTATAGAGCTTTTCAATCATAGCTACATCACTAAAATAAACAGGCCAGTACTAAGTCCATTTAAAGAAAAAAGGTTTGTTACTAATTTGTGCAGCAGTATGCAAGATGTGTGGCTTTCACACATGTCCTGCCACTTTTTTGCTCATATGAGCAGAAGTAATTATTTATATCAGCACATCTTCCTCACATTTTGAATAATGTGGCGAGACTCTAAATTTTGCATATGGCAGTTGGTTAGCGGTAGCGATTATTATTACAAGGCAGAAATTGAATTAATACTTTCCTCAAATCTTTCATATCCACTCAATTCCTTTGTCTGCTAGGAGTTCTGGGGAACTCGAAAGGTTTTAAGCTGAAATATTGTCACACCAGAATCACAAATCTAATAAAACACTCTCACTATAAATCGCGTACTAACCCGAGAGAGCTATAAACATGTTCTTCACACCATCTTCGGTTTTACCTCATTCATCCATTTAAAAGTACTCTTACATTTTTATAAATACACTGTGATATTCCTTGCATCTTTCAAAACTGGTTTGGTTGTCAGGCCTTTTAGAGGAGCCAGAATACATCATCAATATATTTTTAAAATAATAATTTTATTAGATATTTTACAGTACTATGTATATAATTTAACTTGCAAACAATTGATAAGAATTTTTTAAAAATCTGTATTGAAGCAGGGCTCAGAAGGTTAAATAAATCAAACAAGTTCATTAGACCCAATCCCTGGACATAAAAATCATTGTATTGCTTGCAATCCAAACCAATTGTTCTCTTCAACCGTGCCTTCAGCTCCCCTCTCGACTCTCTACCCCCTCCTCGCTCCCTCCCTTCCCTCACCCTGACCATTTCCCCCCTCCTCGCTCCCTCCCTTCCCTCACCCTGACCATTTCCCCCCAATGCTCGGGTCCCGACCCAACTGTCCAGCGCCTTGGGACGTCCTCCGGACATGAAAGGCGCTCTATAAATGAAATCTTGTTGTATCTTGTTGTTTCATAAATAACGTAAAACTGCAATGAAACTGTCTTTATTATTCTATTTCTAGGCCAATAATTAATGCAGATAGTAGATCTAGGACACACATTCAAAGGCACGCTATAAGTGTAGGATACAGTTTGCAAAAAAAGAATGGATTGGTCAATAATCTGTGTAGTGTGATCTCAATCCATAACTAAATATTGACTCCTGTTACTGACCTTTATCTTCAGACAGTTTAACTTTCTCATTCTTTTCTCATTCTGGATCATTATACACAGGGCTCTGGAATCCAGGTAAAGCCAGATCTTCAGCAGAGACTAATATAACGCACTTCTTTCTGCCTGTAGGACTGTAAATGGTCTCGACCAAGGATCCTCACGTGGAATTGGATTAGCAGCACCTTCGTCTCCGCCCAGCATGCTCCCACTCAGCGTCTGAGTTGCCATTTCTGCTTTTCTTTACTACTAACAGCAAAGTCGCTGTCCAGCTCCAGATTCTGGAACTGTTTTTCTCACCCATTAGTTCTGCACAAGACTGTCCATTAAAGATTTTGTCTCTTGATTTCTGTTGGTATCCTGTCACTGTAGCTTAGCTCATGTCTGATTATTTTACCATTCAGGTGCTTATTGCACAATACAGCAACGGTGGACTTTATCTTGACAAATTTACGGTTACAACTAAACAGATAAATCCTCATAAGTTATTTAATCCGAGTTAATGGTATAAATGGTGTTTTGGTCAGGCCATGTGAATTGTAGGACTTGCCAGTTGGTCTGGATTTCTCAGTTATGTGCCTGGAATTGGCGGAATTTTAAAATCGCCACTTCCTACAATTTTTATGTTGTCCTGTACAATTTTCCTTGGTTTGACACACAGGTTTAATGGATATATATTGAAGCATTGTTCGAAATGTAAATGGGTTTGTTACAAATGGACAATTGAAGCTTACATCTTAATTTTTTTTTATTAAACATTGGTTTTATTTCTATGCATCCACCTGATCACTTTACATTTACAACTGGTAGTTGCATAATTGAATTTATTTCATTTGTTTATTTTATTGTACATAAGTTTGTAAACATAACTTTGCCTAAGATATTTGTACATAACTTGGGCATTGTAACTTTATTTATTCAGATTCTATATGGCATGTTTAATAAATGAAGTGTACCATATACAGTTGTAACAAATTCACATATCATGATGTAGAACCTGCTGTCTAATCTTCTAGAAATAAATTTGTTCTTTAAACTGGTGCTGTGTGTCCGTCCAGTGTATTGATGTTTTATGAAACAACAGCCAAAGTTTTCAGCCAAACGGAAACATCCACTGCAATTGATCGCCTGGAAGGATGATAACCTTGTGGGAGTGTGACACTAAGCAACTGAATGCTTAATGAGCTTATCAAGCAATGAAACCATTAAAATAAACCCTTACAATTCAGTTGTGTAATATATCTGTTTAAATACCACAACTTAGTACCAACGTGAGCGTTTTGGAGAGGTGCACTGGTGCCTTCAAAGTGAAGCATCTGGAACTAGGTTAGTAGAGTAAGTTGTTCAGTAACTGCCAACATAAAACAAAAGGGACTGAAAATTTGAATTATGAAAAGACAGCATTAGCTGGAATAAACCCCATACTGACCTGAGCAGTTATAGGTCTTGTGTTTGTTCACCAAATGTATTATTAGTAACTGAGTTTAAAATTGTATATTCTATCATACTAATAAAGGCATAATGTCTGTTTGTGTGTCCGCCAAGAACTCAATAACCGATTGATGTAGAGATATGATTTATACCTCATCGGAAAGGTCTTCAATGGTGGCATCATGGGCATATTTTTTCAGGGATCTCCTATTATCGATAAGCTGCATTAAAAAATATATTAAAAAATGCTTTCATTAAGCCCCCCAAAAGGTACGCATGGTATTCTGCAACAAAGCGACAGGTCACACAGCCTTCCAGAGAGATGCATCTATATGGTCAAAATGTCTGTGTGTGTGTGTGTGTCAGTCCTCCCAACACGAGTCCTTCAACACAATACTAATAACAGGACCTTGGGACATTCACCTGGCGTCAAAGGCTCTATACAAATGTAATTTTGTTGTTGTAATAAAGACGAAATGTCTGTCTGTGGGTCAGGAGCTCCCACAGGAGTCCTCCCAACAGGAGTCTTCCCACTGAATTTCCCGCTGATACTTCCCAACAGAAGCATATATGTGTGGAAATATGTGAACAAGCGATGCTAACGAGTTCAATAGCCCATTTTCTTAATCTTGATGGATAAAGATGCCTAAGAAGTGGAGATCAAGCCTTTCATGGACAAATAAAAATGTCAGTCGCAAGAGAGAGGACCAATTAAGTTAAACTGGTTACGAGCATGGTATACTACATAGTATACTAGGTACAGCTAGTGTACTATAAATATAAAAGGTGGATTGAAACAAATTGAACTCAATTAACCTTACAAAGCAGCTGCAAATGTTTATTTAGCTATAAATGTGTGTAAAAAAACTACCCTTAATTATTAGAATTACAGTAAACCTCACATAAGACGTATCAATTGGGACCATACATTTAATATGATTCATGTAAAGTATGAGTTATGTCAAACTTGCATAGAACATAAACTCTTGAACAGGACTTGGGCAGATGTATGACTCAGGCGATTATATGATTTATACAGATCAAACTTATTACTGTACATCAAACAGAGCAGTCACCAGAATCTGACCTCCCTTAATCTCTCTGTTGCTGGCTTGGAGGATATTTGCTGGCACCCTCCAGTTTAGGGAAACAAAGACTTCACAGGAATCGTTTGGATCAATTGTATCAGTCAGCTCTTCAGATGGCAGATCTTTTAATCTAACTGACAGTGTCTTTTCTCTATCCCTTACTTCCCAACCAGCTATATGCCGCACTTTTAAATCTTCAAATGGATTCTGCATCCAAAACCTTCTGAGAGGGCACATCACATTTTCATCCTCTGTGCGCAGAAAGGTTTTAGCTCCTCAATTCCCATTATCAATTTAAACATCTCAATGGGACAATCCGTTTATAAGCCCCAGATATTTAGGATCTGGAATGCCATGTGAGAGTGATGGTTGAGTCATAATCCGTATTAGCTCAGAAAAGGGAACTGAAAGATACCTAAAAAGGAGTAAACTACAGGGCTATTGGGTAAAAGGCAGGTAGACAGGAGTGAAAGATTTGCTCCGGCTCCGTCACTGTTAAGTGCTCCGTGACGCCGCCCGGCATGAAGGAGCTCTATGAATGCACAGAGATGATGGGCCGAATGACCTTCTGTGCCATTTATTTCCACGTTTTTAACCCTTTAACCTCAACTCTATAGACAACCCTTCATATATTAAAGATTTATAATAATAATATAATAATAATCCTTGCATTTGATATAGCGCTTTTCACGTCGGGAGGACGTCACAAAGCGCTTCACAGAACACACTGTAAAGTGAATTGACTGTATATTTGTGGGCGAACGCGGCAGCCAATTGCGCACAGCAATGTCCCACAAACAGTCGTAGATTGAAAATGACCAATTTATTATTGTTTTGGGTTTTGGAGGGATTATTATTATATATTATATTATATATAAAGATTAATTATTGAATATATAATGTTTACTTAGCAATTGAATACCTTGGTAACACCACCATGAGGTAACAGTGATGCACCTGCTGTGAAACAGTAGTTTAACTGTTAATATGGTACCTGAGCCTTGATCAGCCCAGGAGTCAATCCTGTAGTAGGAATTGCTCCAGACTCCATCTGTGTGAGTCCTAATGGGTAACAGTGATCCCAATTGGACAAATACAGTGAAACCACAGTTACCAATACACAGCGAGAAATATGTTTTGAAAGGAACAAATGCAAACCCAGTTATACCAAGAAGGTACTTTGTGGAAGGAGGAGGTGGGAGCTTGGCTTATGGTGGACTTTGTGGACGCTGTGGGGAAGATTGGGGGTTACCCAACAACTGGACTAAACCCGTCCTTGAAGGGAATCTTACGAAAGATGCCTTTTTTTAAAAAAAAACTCTCGGGTTTGAAATACTGATTAGCACAAGTGGGAGGGGAGTGGGGGGGGAGGGGAGTGGGGGGGAGGGGAGGGAAAAAATCACAAGGACAAGTGGACAGCGGTCACACACACACACAGAGAGACTCGCATTAAACTCAAGAAAGTTTACAACTCTTTTACAATCATAAATATTTCTTTATTCTTGGTAAAATATTATTTAAAAATGTATTTTGTTGGGGGGGTGGGTGGGGTGGATGTTTTGTGGGTGGGTGGGGGGTGTGGATGGATGGGTGGGGGGGATGGATGGGTGGGTGGGTGGATGTTTTGTGGGTGGGGGGGGTGGATGGATGGGTGGGTGGGGGGGGTGGATGTTTTGTGGGTGGGTGGGGGGGGTGGATGGATGGATGGGTGGGGTGGATGTTTTGTGGGTGGGGGGTGGATGGATGGGTGGGGGATGGATGGGTGGAGTGGGTGGATGTTTTGTGGGTGGGTGGGGGGGGGGGGGTGGATGGATGGGTGGGGGGGATGGGTGGATGGGTGGATGTTTTGTGGGTGGGTGGGGGGGGTGGATGGATGGGTGGGGTGGGGGTGGGTGGGTGGGTGGATGTTTTGTGGGTGGGTGGGGGGGGGGTGGATGGATGGGTGGGTGGATGTTTTGTGGGTGGGTGGATGTTTTGTGGGTGGGGGAGCACCCCGTGGGGTTAGGACCGTAGTTTGGTGAGGATCTTGGCTGTGAGCAGGTAGACGCCGCTGTCCGGGTGGGTCATGAGAGGGAAGAGTCTGTTGGAGAAGTGGGAGCCGGTGAAGAGCAGAGCGCAGAGCGACTCCTCGTTGTACTCGCGGTGGGCGGCGGCGGCGGCGTAGTGGGCGCTGCGGCGGATCTCGTTGACGTTGCTGAGGAAGGTGAGGCGGCCCTTCAGGAGGTCCGGGCGGGAGCACACGCTCAGGGCCGAGAGGAAGGCGGGCGGGAGGCGGGTGTTGAGGATGTCGAAGGCCAACTCGGGGTTGGTGGACAGGTTCAGGCAGACCCTCAGCGCCTGGGTCTGGGTCTGGGCCGAGCCCCCGTGGAGGAGCGCCAGCAGCTCGGGGATGGACCTCCTGAGGCTCAGCTGGTCCTGGCGGCACTGGGACAGGCTGCCCAGGAGCCGGAGGGCGGCCGAGCGCAGCCGGGAGTCCGGGGGGTGGTGGGGGTGGGGGTGGGGTCCCGGGGGGCCCCGCAGCAGCTCGCACACCCGCCGGGTGCAGCCCCGCACCGCCTCCCGGTTGTCCGGGTGCTCGAACAGGACGCGGAGGGCGTTCAAGGCGTCCACCCGGATCTCGGTCAGGGGGTCGTGCAGGGACTCGGCGATGACCCCGATGCCGCCCCGGAGGCGGAGCAGGTCCCGGTCGGCGGTGAGAGAGGCCAATCGGCACACGCCGGTCCGGACCAGCGCCGTGACGGTCGGGTCGGGGTTTTGCTTCAGGACGGACAGGAGGGTCTGGAGATGGTGAGCGTCCAACTCACTGCTGGTGGTGGTGGTAGTGGTGGTAGTGGTGTTGTTGCTGTTGTTGGTGGTGGTGGTGCTGCTGTTGGTGTTGTTGTTGCTGTTGTTGGTGGTGGTGGCGGTGTTGTTGTTGTTGGCCACTCCTGACCGCACTCCATCATCATCATCATCACCGCCATCACCGCCATCACCGCCGCCGCCCCCGCGGCCCGAGGCGCTCTCCTGCCCCTCAGCCCCTGACCTCAGGCCCACGGCTTTGTACACCAAATAGGCAGTTCCCGTCCCGGACAAAAGCGCCACCACATCCCCCCGACACCTCTGCGCTGAGTCGGTCTCCATTGCCCCACCGCCCGACACCAATTCCCACCACTGAAGGGAATTGCCCTCCGTGTGTGTGTGTGTGTGTGTGTGTGTGTCGCTGCCCCACAAATGTCGGTGGAAACGGCCAATGGTTTGAGCATCGACGGTTGTCTCCCCCCAACCGATAGACTCGGCCCCAGTGGTCCTCCGGTAACCGATAGCGAGTGACATCAACCGCAGTGTTCCAGTATCCACAACACTCGCCTTTTTGAATGCGATGGTTTGGGTGACGCCATAATACGGTACTGTTATTATCACAGTCGCGCCATCAAACTTTACTGTTCCAAACTCGGGCATCAAAGGAACAATTCTTCTAATTCGCCCACAAAAAAAATTTGTTGCGTTCATCGCGGTCCCGTTCGGCGAAGGCGCTTCGAGACGTCTCGGAGTTGCTGTATCAAAGGCGAGGATCGTTATTATTTCTTACTGTTATCGGTTGGTCGCGACGACGACGACGACGACAAAATGACGTTTGTATCGCGCCTTTCACGCCTCGGAGGGCGTCCCGAGGCGCCGGACAGCGGCACAGCATTTCAGATGGGTTACGTTGGTTAGAGAAGGAAAAGACTGATCATCCTCACGTTCGATATAGCGCCTTGTGTCGCAAGGAGAAGGAAAACATGGTAAGGATCCGTTGCTTGCCTTCGATGACCCGTTTAAATAATATTTATGATCATGATACGCGCGATTACAATGTTTTATTCTTGATTAGGAATTTCACAAAACTATTTCATAATACGCTTTCATTTATAATAGCAGCCTTCACATCGGTAGAATGCCTCCAAGCACTTTTAATGATATAATAATAATCCTTTCATTCGATGGAGCACCTTATCAAGGAATTATAGAGCAAAGTGTAGTGACTGTGTATTTTGTGGTGGAAACGAAGCAGCCAACTGCACGCAGCAGTGTTCCACAAACAGTCGTGGATTTTATTTTGGAGAGATTACTCCTGGAAAGTAATCCGCCAATTGACTAATGACCAGATTCCTACTAACTGCTCGGTAAGAACATTGAAACTTGTGAAAAAAACATCCAATTTCCTTCCGATTTCTTCAGTAGATAAAAGCCAATAATGTTTGCAGTAGTTTTGTGCTGACGACCAGTGGTCAGTGTGTTGAACTACATCCAAGTGACAAGAGGGTTTTAAAAAAAAGGCCGTTCTCACTTGGTCAAACTTTAAACCTCAGAGGAAGTTTCGTTTTAATAATAGAACAATAAACCTAGCATTTGATAAAGCACCTTATCACATCATTCAGACACCTCAAAGGGTTTGGTTTCACAGAATATACTGGAAAGTGAACTGTCTGTAATTTGTGGGTGAAACAAAACCTTACACGAGTGAACCATCTCGAATCTCAAGCCTCCTACCTTTCTCCTCCCTGCAATATTTCTTTCTTACCATTATCTTACAATCTATATTAGGCAACTGTAAATCTGAGAGTATTTTAATCCCAATATTCCACCGATACCAACAGGGTAGTGAATAATTCAAACAGGACACTGTACTGTAAAATAAAACAAGATACTGTACATTGGGTTCAACACTTTGAGATGCTCTCCATCAGTGAAAGGTGCTGTATGGGTGTAAACTGTTCCTCCGCTGGGCTGAGTGTCACAGGTTTCAAATGCTGTCTACATGTACTGGGTTAGCGCATCCCAGCGAGGACAGCAGTTAGGGCTTTAATTGACCTCAGCCTAAAATAGATTTTGACAATCGCATTATTCAATTCAACAGGGAGGGGAAGGGCGTTTACATGTGTTTTTTAAACTTGGGACGCTAGGTGGGGTTTATTTGTTGTCTCTACTTGGGGCATAAGAGGGTGCATCATCTATTTTTTCAACTCGGGACGCAAGGGAGTTATATTATAATAATCCTTGCAAGTGATATAGCTCCTCATCACATCTTCGAAATGTCTCAAAGCCTTTATTGCAGTGAAATATCAAGCAGTAATATCAAGAGGTAAGCACTGTAGAGTGNAAAAAAAGTTATTTACTAGGAATTTCCAAAACAAAATTGAGTAAAAGAGGAGAGCAAGACTTTGGAACACTGCATTTAATATCTTTATTGTTTTTTTTTAAAAAAAAATGCTTCCAAAGGAATCTTTATTCAGTGAGATCGCTGTCTAGAAATACAGGTACACAATAGGAGGAGAATGACAGCACCTGATGGTCACCAGCCAGCTCAGTGAAGTACTGCATATAGATGTCAAACCTTTAAACTGGAAGAAATGGAAACGTCTCCTGCTTGAGGCAGAGGCTCAGGTACACATTCAAACAGAACCCTGTATGGGTCCAGGGGTATTAAGGATGTATTCGATGTGATGCGCAGCCTGACAGTGATCGAAAACCCACTGCGAATGGTTACTTTATACTTCAACAAACTGTCATGTGTAGCTTTAGCTTGCGATGCTTATAACCAAATTATAATCGAAGGCACTTTCCAAAATGTTTCTTTCAAAGAACTTTAGGCTGAATGTGGTCTGTCCACTTAGAACTAGTGATATGTTTTGGCTTGTACAATTCTGAGTCATGCGGCATCTCTCGCTAAGCTTGTGTGGGCTGTACCAAAACCACAGCTTGACACACAAAATATTTCCTAGGATTCTAAAGACAGTGTCTCATTCCTTCGGGACGCTGAGCTAGTTTGTATCAGGATGCTGGTGAGAGGTTAGGATACTGAAGTGATGTCACTACATTATTGTCACATTACAAAGCTGTTCACAGTTGCTCCTGTGAGCAGAGCATTTAAAAGGACGATAGAGATCATGCAGCGAGGCCGGTCCACGATTGATGATAAAACTGTTAACCCCACCTCACCCTGCTGGGAGGAAAACCCAATGCAACACTGACTGTGCTGTGCAACAGTAGCGCAGGTACAGAACGACAAGCAATGGCTACAACACACACAAATTACAACACCATAACACTGTCAATGTAGCAATGAAACACCAATGTTGTTTAATACTGTAGTACTCCCTTCAAAATGCTTCGTACAAGTTCACTGGATCCCAGGTTACTGCCTCGAATCCCCCGCCCGCCTGCAGTTTACAACATTAGCCCCCAGCAGGTTCAGTCCGCACCGTCGCTGATTGTTTGTAATGCAAGTCAAAGAACGAAACTCCAGCCAATGACAGAGGGGAGAGCTTTTAAAAGGGTCATTTTGCAGCCAATGCGTTTATTAATTCCTGTCGTTGATCTGCTGCTGAAGCCTCAGGACATTGTGGCAGCCCTTCCCCACACCCACCCATTCATACACCAGCTAATGGAAGCTTTTATAGGAAAAGATGCTTCAATTAGACGCTCACAGTTTGGTATTTCTGCAGCATCAACTGCAGATGTGAATAATCCAGCTCTATGCTACTTGTCAGATCCCCTATAATGACATGTGCGCTGGTATGTACATGTAGCATGCATACTAATACCAAGCCTTAATAGTGTCTGGAATTTAATCCAATCCTTTAAGAGAAAACCAAATTCAGACGTTTCCTCAACAGTCAGCAAAATGGGCTCAAATTAGTATCTTCTGAAAGCATTCATGTGGATACGATACGTAAGGTAAGGATGTTGAGACTAAAGAAGTTTAAGACGCTATAGGACAGTGGCTTATATCATCTCGTATCTTGCCCCTTTTTTAAAAACAATACAAAATAAGGCAGTGGAGAATCCGAGGTCGGCACAGCTCTCGCTCCAATCCCCAGAGGCTCTGACAGCAGAGGGAGGGTGGACCACACCGACTGGCATCATCTCTACTCTGCCTGATTGCTCTGCGATTCGTTCAGCTCCCCCACTTTACCATCCAGCTCTTCGTCCGAGAGCTCGAGCGATGTCCCTTCCAGTTGGAGTGCCCGGCGGCCTGTCCGACTGCTTGTGAAGGTCAGGCCACTCCCACCTCTCCTGCAGGGAAAAGCATGGCATTAAGCTACACACACGTCATCGACAACCAGCTGTCTTGTGTACATTTGTTCTCGGGGCGGCAGTGAAAAGGGAAGAGGCACATTTTATAAAAACAAAAGAAAAGAAATGTCTAGTATAGAAGGCAGGTAGACAGTGACTAGCCTTGTATCTGCTCCGATACTGGTCTGCCCGATTTCTGCTTTTACTGCAGGTGAACGGTTGGCAAAGAGATGCTCAAACTTCTTCCCTCTTTTGAGACAAGAGGGTAAAATTCATTTCAGGGTAGGGATTAAAAAAAGTCTCCTCGCCTCTGCTAATAATAATACTTGCATTTGATATAGCGCCTTATCATGTCGTTGAGACTCTCAAAGCTCTTGATAGAATGTACCATGAAGTGAATCGATTGTATATTTTGTGGGCGAAACGCGGCAGCCAATTGCGCACAGCGACATCCCATAAACAGTCGTGGATTGAGCAATTTTTTTTTAGGGCTATTACTCCCGGAAAGTGATCCGCCAATTGACTAGCAACCGGGTTTCTACTTACTGCTTGGTAAATAGTGGCGAGTGGAGTAAGGAAATTTGTCTAATGTTTGGCCCTTCACAGGAGTCAAAAACGGGTCCTCTCGCTTGCGAGGTGAGCGCTCTAACCACTACGGTACAAGACTCCTGCTACCTGCAGTAACTAAGGGTGATCGACACCTGGAGTTACAACAACTTGTTGGGACATCCTCCTGACATAAAAGGCACTAAACAAATATAATTAGTTGTTGTTTGTTGTTCACCTGATCCTGCTCTTCAGGGTATTGATCTCGCGGCCCATGGACTCCGAGGTCTCTGTGGCATCGTCGAGCTCGCGCTGGAGCTTGCGGCGGGCGGCGTTTGCCCGGGTGGCCTCCTCCTCGGCCTCCTCCAGTTGTCGCTTCAGCTGTTTCATGCGTGAGTTAGACTTCTCCACCTGAGGAAAGACTGGAACGTCATGATTCAAGCCGTGCTCAGCAGCGCCTTAGCAACACGAACAAACAACTGGCAGAGCTAAACGAAATCAAGCTTCCTTTGGTCACCACATCCCTCTCATAGGCCGATTATTCCTCAATGGTGCAATATCAAGGCTAAGTGCAGAAGGTCATGGGTCCAATGCACACTCTACTCTGCATCCTTCAGGAATAGAGTGACCAAAGGACAGAAAAGAGCATCAATCAGATCTATTGGAACATGTCCCAAGCATGGGAAGCTGGGACCGCTATAGTTTGTGACTGACACCCAAGTGGCTGATATAATCCTGGACTTATAGCTTTATTGGATCTTTCTTGGTGTAACGGGGGCGGAAGTGGGTGGGGAAGAAGAGTTCAGTGGAGGGACACATTCAGGGGAAATGGACGGGAGAGGAAGGATATGTCCTGACCCAGTGAACAGCTCGGGCTCCAGAATATTTGCAGTTTTACAAAAAAAATCCCAAAATACATTTGAACAAAATTCCATCGATACAGAACACGTTAATATCCTCTTTTTGAGTCCATTTCTGGAGCTGCCACTTTTCAGCCACTTGACAAGGCAATAATATAAAAAAAATGTACATTTGCTTTTTTGCTTTAAAACGATTCATTCTCCAGGAATTTTACAAAACGACTGAAGTCAGACCTGCTCTTTGTACTGATCGGCGTGTCTGCGCTCATCCTCAACCTGCATGTAAACCTCCTTCAGCTTCTTCTCTGTGCGACGCACCAGTTTATTGGAAGCTGCTCTTTCTCTGCAAGAGACGGCAACGAAAGATGGTGTGAAGCTCTCAGCAAGGAAACGTAGCACTGAGGTCTTTGCACTCAAATTAGCAACTACAAATTCCGTGTGTATAGCATCTTTCATGTCGGGAGGATGACCCAAGGCACTGAACAGTCAGGGATTTGCATCTGAGCTGGGGGGTTGAGATCAGGAGGGCAGGGAGGGTAAGAAGGGTAACCGAAGGAGTGGTCGAAGAGACGGGTCTTGAGAACGGCTTTGAAGGAAACAAGGGAGGGGCCGAGGCAAAGGATCTGTGAGATGGAGTTCCAACGGGTGGGGGTAAATAAGAGGCTGAAGTAAATAAAAATTGTTATTTGCACAACATATAAATAGTGATTCTCATGTTGCTCTAAAGCTCCATTAGTCACATCTTACCTACGTCACACCGGCACGCGGGTAGCTACGTCCTAACTGTTGAAGGGTGGCATAGAACCATTTCAGCACAGAAGGAAGCCGTTCGCCCAATGGTATCTATTAATTCTACCTCTTCACAATTCCAACTAAAGGAATGGCATTTCACACTGCTTTAGTGCCAAGGTTAGCCACAACAAGCATTCTGCACACACTCGTGTTACAAGCGCATTTTACTTTGCTTCCTGCTCCAGCTGCTCCTCCAGCTGTGCTATCTTCGCCTCCAGGGCCGTGATGGTGGACTTGAATTTGGACTTAACGGCTCCTTCCATCTCTTGCAGCTTGGCTTTCAGCTCCTTGTTCTGCCGCTCCAGCTGCTGACGAGCATTCTCGCTCTTCTGTCCCGCGCTTCTCTCCGTGGCGAGCTCACAGTTCAGTGTCTCTACCTACACGAGTGTAAATGCCACAGACTGGTAACACAGATACTCACACACACTGGTAACCCAGATACCCCCTCACTCTCTGTCACACACACACACACTGGTAACCCAGATATCCCCTCACTCTCTGTCACACACACACACACTGGTAACCCAGATACCCCCTCACTCTCTGTCACACACACACACACTGGTAACCCAGATACCCCCTCACTCTCTGTCACACACACACACACTGGTAACCCAGATATCCCCTCACACATACAGTCACACACACGTAACCCAGATTCCCACCTTCCCTAACAGAAGTTGGTAACCAAGATAACCCCTCCCTCGGCACCCCCCCCCCACCAAACACACACACACAAACAGGTAACGCATATACACCCCTCCCCTAACACAGAGGCTGCTAACCCAGACGCCCCCCACTCCCCCTCCCCCCAAAGCACACACAGGTAACCAGATACTCACACACCCAACAGGTAGCCCAGATACACCCCACCCCCATGCTGGTAACCCAGACACTTGCACCAACAGACACTGGTAACCCAGATATCATGCAACTGTTTGTAAGATGGCAGTTGTAATTGGTTTACTTCGTTACTTTGGTTTGATCCACATTAAGCATCAGTGTAATTTGATAATCCTTTCAAAGTGATCTTCCAGTTAATAAGTCTCAGGGCTACTAAAGCAACAACAAAATTAGATTTGTGTAGCGCCTTTCACGTCAGGAGGACGTCCCAAGCAGTCAGACACTGGAGCAGTCTATTCTAGTGATGAAAATCTGGCAGATTTCTGTGCAAGTTAATAACTAATGGGTGTTTAATAACATCTGAAAGGAAGTTAAAAATCTAGAATTCCTCCATACAAACCAGCACTGCATAATTACAGATTTTAATTCCTCGAAATATTCTAACAATAGAAGTTCCATAACAGCAGTAAGTGATTGAGATCTTCAATGTCAAAAGCTGATCACATGAAAGTGCTATCATTTGAAAGATCATCTGCCTATCTGCTATCAGGTTCTTTGTTTATTCAACATCTCTACGCGGTTTCCAGGTCAAACCTCTCAGCCCTCAGATGGATTGAAAATAATTTTTAACCAAGTTCTAAGCTTCAAAAAACTAAACTTCAAATGATTCATTGCCCAGTTGCTCAGCTACCGAAGTTCAGTCCAGAGCTGAACTGAGCCTTTCAAAGATGCAAAGGAGCCTGAGATCTGGTTTGTTAACCGATCTCAGCCAGAGTCGAAGTAACAACTCCAATTTACCTTTTTTTTTAATTCAAGTCTAACTCTAACCCTAAACTTTTTTTAAAAAAGTCTTTTTAAAAAAAACGAGTGGCAATCCTCCCAACAGTTCTAGTTTCTCCTGGCTTTAAGCGCAGTTTGTTGCTGGGATACAGCACAAGAGGAAACTGAAAGCATAGTCATAGATTCCTATTGTCAATCACTGATTCCCAATTGGAATCCCAATAACTCCAGCATATGACCTTCCTGCAAGCCAAGCAAGTCATCCATTCCCAGAGTTTCTGAAAGCACTGCATTATAATAATAATCCTTGGATTTAATACAGCGCCTTATCACATCTTCGAGAGCCTCAAGGCACTTCACAGAATACACTGTAAAGTGAATTGACTGTACATTTTGTGGGCAACACGCAGCAGCCAATTGTGCTCAGCAATGTCCCAGGAACAGCCATGGAATGACTGATCAATTTTATTTTGGAGATTGTTGGCCAGGACACCGGGAGAAACTCCTTTCTCTTTTCAAATAGCGCCACGGGACCTTTAACATGCACTTGAACAGGCCTCTGTTTAACGTCTCATCTGAAGCACGGGACGTTTGACTTGTTGGCCACTGAGGTGCCCGTCTGTGGGTAGAGCTCACAAGGCAAGCGTCCAGCAGTAAAGGTACCTGCATCGTGGTCTTGCGGAATCGGTCGTTCAGAAGCTCCATGTTGCTCTGTTCCTCTTCAAGCTCTTCCTCCAGCTGAGCAATCCGAGCCTCTAGACGGCGCTTCTCTTCCAGCAGAGCAGACCTGGAGAACACCAGGCACAGTGTATCAGGGCAGCCTCGCTTTACATTTATACCAGAAAATCCAAATCTAGATCCAAACATCAGATCTCCAGAATGATATCGTTGCCTGTAACCTAGAACTACTCATCCCCCAACTGCTCAGCTGGTAATGCAACTGGCTGCTGTAAAACTGTCCTAAGACTGATACTACATTGGTTGCAGCTTCCAAATGAAATCAGCCACTTCAAGCCACGGTAATCATTTAGTATTAAACTTATACAGAACATAGGCTCAACTTCAACTGTTTTATACACTCACAAACCCTTCCGTGCTGGGAGCAGGTACAGGCATCACATAAAATCAATCTGCAAGATTAATCATTTACAATTTGTATTGTTCCCGGCAAATCTGAGTGAGTTTCTGTGATAAACGAAAGGCTTCAGATGAAGGAATAAACACAGAAGTCGCAGGGAACACACAACAGGATCAGACAGCATCTATGGAGAGAGGAAAATGAGTTAACGTTTCAGGTTGATGACAAAAGGTCATAGACCTGAAACACTAACTCATTTTCCGCTCTCTATGGATGCTGCCTGACCTGCTGCGTGATCCCAACGACCTTTGTGTTTATACCAGATTTTCAGCATCTGCAGTATTTTGCCTCTTTTTTTTTGTGGGTTCGGAGGGGGGGGTCCTTACTTTCCAGACGCGCTGTTTGCGATTTCGTCCGCCAGCTCGTCCCGCTCCTGCTCCGCGTGACGCCGTCCACGCTCGGAGGAAGCCAGCTCCTGAGAGATCCAATTACACCGCTTTAGCAACTCTGCTGTGTTAATCCAGCGATATGTACACATTATGTAATGTACAGGGTGTCTACAAAGTCCCGATGTTTGTTTTTCCTATAGTGTACTGACTAACAACTAAAACATGATGACAGTTGTATCTGGAAGTACTTAATTGTATTCGGGACAAGTGTTTAACTGCATTCAGATAGAGACATCCAAAGGATCAGAGTGAGTGTTTGTGCGTGTCATCATTTTCATTGTAGATAATGATCTGTCGCTATGTTCGTTACGATATCTCCTGCAACATGGATGTTAGTGAGGAAGCGAAATGCATCTCTGACAGCTTATTTCAGCTCCTCCGTAGTCTCAGATCACTGCATTGCAACAGGACGCTATGGACACCCTGTACAATACAAGTCGCTCTCAGTCAAAACTCCTCCTCCCACATCTCCCTTCCCCAGTACACACACACACACACACACACACACACACCTACCTCATGCAGTTGCAGGATTTCTGCTTCCAGGCTTTTCAGTTTCTTTTCGTTCTCCTTTGATTGAGTGAAGATCTCATCTCTGGAGGCACGAGCTTCTTCCAGCTCACGCTGGTAATCCTTCATCTGGGCCTAAAGAAGAGAGTGAGGGAAAGGGTTTGTTCCACGTCAAACTGCGTGAAAAAAAATTAAGACGGAAATTCCAAACCAAATATTAATTGTAATATCCTCGGATTTGATACAGCGCCTTATCATGTCGTTAAGACGTCTCAACGTGTTTCACAGAATATACTGTAAAGTGAATTGACCGTGTATTTTAGAGGCGAAATCTGGCAGCCAATTGCACACAGCAGTGTCCCACAAACATTTTATTTAAATTATTAATATTATTAGTCTTTCTGCTAACAATCCAACAATTTCCCAACTAAGGAGAATACAAAACTGAACAGCAACTTGCACTTGTATGCAGTGCCTTTCACACACAATAGTGTCTGAGCATCGTTATTCCACCTGCAGCCCCAATAAAGCCCTAAACAAATTGACATCCCCCACTTTTATATTCAATGCCCGGTTTATGAACCCCAACCCTGTTTGCTTTCTTAGCCAGCAGCAATACTCAGTGCTTCTTAGTTGCTGCTCTCATCAATGGGTAGAGAGAGGGGCCGGAGATGGTGGTGGTGGTAGTGCTGCGAGACACTACCTGCAGTTTGCGGAGCTGTTTGATGGCCTCATCACGACCTTTGTTGGCTGCTTCGATCTGCGCTTCCAGATCCTTCAGGTCCATCTCCAGCTTCTTCCTGGCCCCCACTGCCTGAGCTCGCTGTTTCCGTTCATCTTCCAGCTCAGTCTCCAGCTCTCGAACCTGCAGCGAGAGGCAGCATTAACCAGGCAAGTCTCCAAACCACAGTGGAAACATCCCACAAACAGCCAGGCAGGGCGAGTTTCCCCGAGTACAATACAACCCAGAACACCCTAAAGCCTAGGGACTCGGCTTCAATACTTCAATGGGAAGTGGCAGGTGGTGCTGAGGACATGAATGTGCAAGGGACTTCTCTACCCTCACCCCGTTTCAGTTTAGAAGGGGAGAACATTGCAGGTTACAAGCAGCAGATGCAGGTTACTTATAGTTGAAAGTAAAGACTCTCACAAACAGAACAATGCCGAGTCTCTGCTCTGGGACCAAGCGGCATTCAGAGATTGAAGAGTTCAACCTCAAAGCCATGCAAGTCCAGTGGATTGGCTTCCGAATGAACCTGCAATTGGAACTTCTGGTAACGGCAGAAAAAACCCTGTGCTGGGGAGGTGTTAGAAGCTACAAATTCCTTTTGAACCCAAATTCTTCCTGATTAAGATCTGGTAGGCATCAACTTCACCTGTTTAACCAGCATTCGCTTCTTTTCCTCGTTCTGTTCATCTCTGGCCTGCAGATCGCGCTCAAACTGAGCTTTCATGGCCTGCATGTTGACCTCCAGGCGTAGCTTGGCATCCTCGGTGGCCTGAAGCTCATCCTCCAACTCCTCCAGCTGGGTTCTCATCTCCTCCACCTGGTGCTCCAGGGCTCGCTTGGACTTCTCCAGCTCGTGCACCTGGTGTGGGAGAGATAATTAGGATAGCATAGGAACAGTGAAGAATTCTCTCCCGGAGGATCATCCAAATATGTACTGATCGTTGCGGGATGGTTTCAAATTGATAAGACATTTAATAATACTTATATTTGATATGACACCTTATCACGTTGTTGAGACGTCTCAAAAGCGCTTCACAGAATGTATGGGAAAGTGGATTTACTGTGTATTCTGTGGGCGAAAAATTTATAGCGGAATTGGAGAAGCACATGTGGAGGATGGGTCTTCTAGGGCACTGAAAAGAGCAGGGAATGAGGTTGAGAGACGGCTTAATTGGGGAGCTCACAATGACACAAACAATGTGTCAAATGTAGATGTCTGTGGTTTGACAAATTCTCAAAGAAGTTAAAATACAAGCCCATGTCCTTGCGTGGATAAGAGCCGTACCAATATTCACCACCTCCTTCACCACCCGCCCCCCCCCACACAATCACTGTCCTCACATTTTTGCCCACATCGTCCTTCGAGCTCATCAGATCCTCCATCTCAGCCCGCAGTTGCTTGTTCTGTCGCTCCAGCTCCTCTTTAGCCTCCAGGGCTTCGTCCAAAGCTCGGTTCAGTGCCAAGGCTTTGGTCTCCTTCTCCCGGGCCTCGGCCTCCGCACGGTCCCGCTCGTCAGCAAAGCGGGCAGATATGTTTTTCTCTTCAGCCAGCATCTGCCAGACAAACACAAAGGAACAAATATAAATGTTCCTAAGAGGCAAACTGTCAGCTGGTCCGACTCAGATATATCAGCATCTGAATATTTAATCAAATATGAAAGAGGTTGAATTCTGGTGTGAGATCTTGAGCTGGGATTGCTGACCCTGACTGTCGTGAACGTCACCCCTATAGGAAAGTTTAAACGATCTTCTATATTACCAGATAAGTTTTTTTTACTGAAACCTCGCTGATTGATATCCAAAGCTACGAAAATTATCGAGTACCGACAACAACTGTTAGTTGTGGTTCTCCTTTGAAACAGTCTCATTCTGGATGCGGGGGGAGAGGAGGGGGAAGAGTGGGATATGAAATGAATGGCAGAGAACACACCTGATCGAATTTCTTCTGTTTTTTCTCCAGGTTGGAGACTATCTGCCGCTGATGATCCAGGTCCACCAGCAGATCGTCCAGTTCCTGCTGCAACCGTGTTCTCGTCTTCTCCATCTTATCGAAGGCCACTCCTTTCTCCTCCAGGCGTTGAGTCAGCAGCTCCATGTCCTTCTGAAGCTTCCGTTTGATCTCTTCCAGGTTATCGATGGTACCCACATCATCATCCACTTTCTTCTTAGCGTCGAGCAGCTAGATTAGGAACCCCAATAAATTCCATTTAGTAGGACTCAAGGCGTTGTGTATTGCTCACCCCACACCTTTTACAACTGAAGTTAAACTACAAGCTCATGTCCTTGCATGGACAAGAGCTATACCAATATTCACCATTTACCTACTAACCCACACCCCCACCTTGAGCTTAACCAGAGCTGTTATGGCTCAGAGCAATACCTGTGCTTGGAGGGCTCCGACCTGCTTCTCAAGGTTCTTCCTCGCTTCCTCTTCCTCCTCTTGCAGCTCCTGGAGATTATTCTTGTCCTCCTCCAGCTGCCGGATGCGGCTGCTGAGGTTCAACTTCTGCCTTGTCTCCTCCTGAAGCAACTCCTGCAACAAGCAAAACATTCAAACCCATTTTACCCCCTCTTCACCACTACCCCAATGTTTGATGGATGGGCTGGAATGAGGAGCAGTGAGGGCTGCCACAAACTTGTGACTCAATCACTGGACAACAAGCTCAAACTCTGGGCTTTACTGACTTGTGAGCGGCACCACTGGTAGTGAGCGGAGGCCAAGATGCCCACATTGGGTGAGATGCCATCACTCCTGACGCAGTACCATTCCTCCACTCTCACAAGTTGGAAGTTCAGGAGAACAATCTCTGGAACCTGTGTTCGTTAAAGATTTTGTATTGATTTACGTACTTGAGTGTCTTGCAGTGCAGACTCCAAACTGACTGTATCTTTGGTCAGTTTAATGGTTTTCTTCTCAGCCTCCTCCAGAAGCCCAGAGACATTGTCCAGCTCATTCTGTGGGAAGACAAAGAGTTAATCCGAGACTCTTTGTAACATCAGATCTGTTTATTTTCCTCATTTAACACGAGGTTTACCAATGTCCACTTGTCAACAACTGCATTTTACGATGTTAAAAGCTTCTTTCGAGTGCCCAGAGTAGGTCATTCTCAACTGTTCCAGCTATTCCTGTCAATCCAAGTGTAATGGGCTGTTTAGTTGACTCTTAATTCTTTCTTTCAAAGCCATTTAGGTTGTTAATACATGGATTTAAGCAAGAACTGCTGTTGAACACCCATGGCATCAATTGTTATATAATCACCCTTGTATTTGCTTTTCATATCTTCTAGACGTCTCAAAGGGCTTCATAGAATATACCTTAAAAGTGGATTGACTGTATATTTGGGGGCGAAACGCGGCAGCCAATTGCGCACAGCAGTGTCCCACAAACAGTTGTGGCTTGAGTGATCAAATTATTATTTTATTCTTGAGGGATTATTATGGGGAGTAGGGAAACTTGCCCAAGGTTTCGCCCTGCCAGGAATCGAACCCAGGTCTCTCGCTTGCGAGATGAGTGCTCTAATCACTGAGCTACAGGACTCTACGTTGTTGATCTGCTTGCATTTGTTAATGACCTTTCACATGCATTTGTTAAAAGCAACAAGCAATAATGTGTTGCCAGTTACAGTAGCCAGAGGACAGAGGGACATCGAAGTCTAAGCCACACACCACTGGGTTCCGTTTCTCAATTTGGTGCAGGAACTATACTGAAACCTCAGAGTTATGCAAAAGTCTGTAAGATATTACTGTTCACTCCCTTGAGTAAATTTTGAACAGGCAAACCCATCAATAAAGTCTCCTTAAATTGTGCAGCCGTTTCAGAATGGGTTAGAACGGAAACCAACATATTCCAGGATAGAAGCCCAACCATTTGCTGGAGTTCAGCCAGCAAGAATGGATTACATTTATTGTCTCAACAAAAGTTGTACTCGGCCAGTTGTAGTCATAGAAACAGGAGTAGGATATTCAGCCCCTTGAGCCTATTCTGCCATTTTATAAGATCATGGCTGATTGTACCTCAAGTCCAGTTACCCGCTCTTATAGAAACATACCTGCAGCTTGTGAGCTCTCTCGAAAAACTCAGACTTTGCCTTCTCGCTCTCAGACAGCTTGATCTGAAAATCCTGTACTTGAGCCTCCAGTTTCTTCCTGCGGTGTTCAGAGTCGCTCTTGGCCTGCTGCAAGCACTTCACCTCACTGGCCAGCTCTTTGTTATCATTCTCCAAGCTCTGCTTGCTCTTCTCTAGATTGCCTTTGACCTATTTAGCAATCGGAGGAAATCCAGTTCGTATTTAATCTCCAATGCGGCATGAACATCCATCCAATGTAAAACATGCACTTGTGTAGATTTGTGCTCAGTTCCAGTCAGATTAAAAAAATAAATCCAGAAATAATCTTGATTCCTTACTGATTCATTGTGTTGTGTTGGATCTGGTTCTAACGTCATACATTTCTGGTGAATACAGTTTGTGAATACTTATTCATGTTTGGTTTGAATCCCTTAGTTTGATGTCTAACAATTCTCATTTGACAATAATTTCCATTGATGTAGCTTTTTATGTAAAATGGTGGTTTTGAAGTTATTTACAAAACATAATTGATAAGAAACATCGTTATATAGATGAATTAAACAGCTAATTTGGGCCAGAAATGTCCTGTATCAGAAACAATGAGATGAACAACCAGTTTGAATTTGGGGAGCAAATTTGGATCAGGAAGAGGATAAAAATCATGATAAATATTATTGTTTTTTTGAATGCCATATTTCACCCGACTCAAAAGGCAGACAGAATCTAAAATCATTAGCAAAAAAATCAAAGAATGGAACAAAGATCTGAAAGCAAGTACAATTGTATCGGATACAGAATGATTTGGAGGCAAATTTGGTCGCTAATCTTTACCAGTAACTTACCACAAACAAGTGAAACAAAAAAGAAATTAATTTTAAAAAAAAAGAAAATGAGAGATGGGGAGCTCTTAAAATGAGAAGCTAGAATCGTTGAGGTACTGACTCTCTTGGCCTGTTCAAGCTGTTCAGAGATCTCCTCCAGAGCAGTGCCATGTCTTTGCCGGATGTCCTGAATCTGGACTTCGTGGGTCTTGGTCTCCTCTTCTATGGCTTTCTTCAGCTCAGCTACTTCCTGCTCACGTTTGGTCCTGCATTTGTTGAAATAATAATAATAGTAATCCTTTGCATTTGTGAACACATTTTTTTGAGGGGGGAATGCGGTTGTTGGGGTGGTGGGGTGGGGGGGCGAAGGATTTTTTTTTCTAATCGCAGGACAGCGATCAGACAATCTACTAATAACCAAGTTCCTACTTGCTGCTAGGTAAACAGAAGTGTGTGAGTAAGGAAACTTGCCAAAAGTTTTGCCCTGCCTCGGAATCGAACCCAGGTCCTCTCACTTTTTTTAAAAACAAGATTGAAGGCAGCACTGAATTTAACCCCCTCTGCAAATCTCTTCAAAGGAAAGCACGCTACTGAAGCAAAGTTAGCTTAGTGCTGCCAGGAGTTTGCCTCACTCACATCTTGAATCGCTGAATCTGCCCTCCCCAAAATGAGTTAGATTACAAGTCCTCCAACATGCCATGTTGAACTTACTACTACCCAGTCTATTAGCTACTCTACCTTAGCTCCTGCTGGGCAGCAGTTGTATCCAATGTGTCTTCCAGTTCAGTCTTTAAAGCTTCCAGCTCTTCACTCAGATCTCTCTTCTGCTTGTCAGCTTTGTTGCGCGAAGCCTTCTCAGACTCCAGATCCTCCTGAAGCTCAGAGATCTGGACCTGCAGCTCCCGCACCTGCTTCAGAGTATTGTTCTTCTGTGTCACCTCATCATCCCCTCTAAAAGTGAACATAAAAACATAAGAATTTGCTGGCGAAAGAATACAAGGTTCATCTAGTTCATCTTCCACCTTCCTGGCAGTCGCTTGAAATGTCGTGTCCCAAACTATATACTGTGTCCTGAGATATTAATTTCTAGCAAAAATCTATCTAATTTGTTCTTGAACAGATCTAAGAGCCTCAGTTTTAGGAAACTGGATAGAATTGGAAACCCGTGGAGTCAATGCAGGAACGTCAACTACTTCAGCTAGCGAGGGGACCATTGCCTTTCAGAATATACATCAATGACTTGGTAATGGACATAGGAGGGGGCTGCAGGCCTAGCCATCCGAATGAGTTATGAACCATTCCAGAATTGGTTGAACTGAAGATCAGTAAATTGTAATTTACTAACTGCTGTGCCCAATTGGCTGCCGCGTTTCATCCACAAAATACCCAGTTAATTGACTTTACAGTATAGTATGTGAAGCGCTTTGAGATGTCTCAAAGACGTGATGAGGCGCTATATCAAATGCAAGGATTATTATCAAATTATACTGGTTTGTACTATGTTGCACTGGCTAGAGTCTAACAGGGTATCTGGCGTTAAAGTACGCAGGTCTCTGCAGGGCCCCCTCTCAGGCTCACTAATGAGATTTCATAGCCATTTGGTAGGTGGCGCCTCAGACCTGGCCAGGGCAGCCTGAAGCTCTTCCTCCTTCTTTGCCAGCTGAATCTTGAGCTCCTCAATCTGCTGCTGCAGCTCTGCAATCTGATCAGACAGATCTGTCGTCTCCCCGTCCAGCTTCCGCTTGGCTTTCTCCAGCTCTTGGCGTGTTTTCTCCTCCTTCTTCAAACGTTCTGGACAGACAGACAAGCATGAGTTCCTGAACCCAAACAGGACGCTTCCTCTATTCCCTGCGGGCATTTAGCTCAGAAATACCATGGATTGTAAAACTCCACTTGGAATAGTTGAGCGTTTAGGGAGGATTGGGACATCCTTCCAATGTGAAAGGCGCTATACAAATGTAATATTGTATTGCATTAAGACCGTTCAGCCTACTGCACCTGTCCGTCAGTCCTACAATTGGGGAGTTAACCTACAAAAAAAAACAAGACTTATACATGGGACTTAAGTACATTAAAGTATACGGAAAGCGTAGGGAAATGGGATTAAACACCTGTCATTTTCTAACACGCTGTGCTCGCAGATCAGATTTGACAGGCTGAGTATCTTTCCCCCTGCTCTTTTGTTCCTTCAAATAGAGCACAAAGTGAATCTGCTTTAGGTCCAGATCAGATAAAGCACAAATTTAAGTGCATTGAGTTTTACTTTTCAAGAAAATGTTTATCATAAAGAGCACAAAATTGTGTCACGGCAGAAACTGTCCCAAATCCTCTCACCTTCCAGATCAGACATCATCATCTCCTGCTTGTTCTTGATTTTAGTCAAGTTTTTGGCCTTCTCCTCCTCCTCAGCCAGCTGTGACGTGAACTCAGAGATGCGGTCTTCCATCAATTTCTTTTCCTGGTGTTTTCATAAAAGAATACAACAGTCTTAATAAAGCTGGCATTTAACACCTTGATATTCATATTCCGAAGCAAATTCTACTCCCGCACTTTAAATCTCATCGACAAATTCCCAAGAATAGCAGAAACGCAGTTAAGCGTAAGTTACTCCAGTGAAATCCGGGTTAATAGAAATCATTAAACCAGAATGGAACAACTGGACACTTTCAAGGTGTTTGCAAGGCTGCCCCCTTTCTCAACTATAAGCGGATTTTGAACTCAGAACCTAAAACGGTTTGACTCTCAGCGACTGCTCAACAATGTTCAGGAGGGAAGAGCATTCTACTTTGCTTGGAATAGGAAGCAAAGTAGAGCATAACAAGCAACAAGAGCTCATCAATATGCATCTTTCTCTGTCCACACATCTTCTCTGCCTGGCACCTACCTACACCTCTCTACCCACTGCATAAACTCACCTTTCCTAGTTTGGAATTTTGATCTTCCAGCAGTATAATGTCCTCCTCCACCTTCTTGATTTTGGCCTCTGCCGTCACCTTCTCAAGTTGAAGCTTCTGTCGAGCTGCTTCCTCTTCATCCAGTTGCTCTTCTAGATCCTAACAGGAAGTGAGAAGCTTGTTAATAATAATAATCCTTGCATTTACATTTGGTATTGTGCTTCAGCGCCTTGAGACGTCCTCCTGACGTGAAAGCGTGATACAAATGTTTTTGTTGTTGGTGTTAACACTTCGTCAAGATGTCTCAAAGTGCTTCACAGGATATACTGTAAAGTGGAGTGACTGTGCATTTCATGGGCAAAACACAGCAGCTAATGTGCACACAGCATTGTCCTGCAAGCAGCCATGGAGTGAATGACCAATTTTATTTGGGGAATTTCTTCACCAGGAGACCGGGAGAAACTCCCTTTTCTTTCCAAATAGTGCCATGGATTTTTAACGTCCAACTGAACAGGCAGACAAGAACTCGATTAACACCTCATCCAAAGGGTGGCGCCTCCGACAATGCAGCAACACCTCCAGAACTGCACTGCAGCCTAGATTATGTGATTCCAAGTGTCATCCAAGTTGTGAGCTAAGGCACTGCTATGCCCACATGACCGCCAAACTCATCACACATCTCATTACTCTTGCCTGATGTGGAACAATGAAACATGTACTGCAGAGGTTCAGAAGCAAATAGAGTTTCTACAACCACCCAACATTTCCCAGATTACATCACAAGGTCCAATTTCCTCCTTTAAATGATTTTACCAAGGTCAGCGCAAAACTCCAACAGGAATGTGTTCAGCCTGAATAATTGGCTTAATGGTTCAGTATTATCCTTGGTCTCCTTTCTGAAGGATGAGACCTCACCCAATTCCAGTCTAATACCAGCAGTGAGGATGTGAGAGCAGAAGATTGCTGTACTAGTGATGAGATAGGCAAAACAAACACCCAAACTCTCATTAAATCGGTAAACTCTATACCTGCCCCATAGATACACAATGAGTACAGCACCTGGACATGTTGCTGCATTTTCTTTTTCTCATTCTGCGTTTGCTGGTTTCTTTCCTCCTCCTCCTCCACTCTGGCTTCCAGGTCGTGGAGGATTTCCTCCAGCTCCTGCTTCTTGGTGGCCAGGCGAGCTCTCATCTCCTCCGCCTCGGCAAAGAGTTCCGTCTCCGCTTGCAGCTGCTCGGCCAGAATGTTTTTCTCCTCAAAGAGCTGCGGCAAAGAAGAGGACTCGTCACAGTGTTTGAGCACAGTCACCGACATTTATAATTACACTATACTCACTTTTGAAGCCTCACTGTACAACTAGGAGGTATTGTCCCAATCAGAACCACAGTTTCAGCTGACGCACATCTTTTACAATACTTTGGTTGCAAGATCTCACACTTATGACAATTCCATTATAGGAACAGAATAATTTGGAAGAGACGACATTTATGCAGCTTTCTCATTGAACAAAACAGACTCGTATTTCTTATCTCAAGTGCATTTTTTAAAAATGAAGGGTTCAAAGAGTAGGAAAGAAATAGAATGTAGAAATTATGAATTTAGGGCTGAATATTATTTAGTAGAAGTTTCAAAGGGTAATCATCCCACAGAACAAATTACCGGGGTAGCACAAGGAGACTAAACAATCTGAATGAGTTTTATAAATTGGTCTAAGAGACTTTACTGCACTTTGAAACAAATGGGTTAAGGAATGTGATGGGAGAAGAAACCGATAGAACTTTTCTGATTTCTAAAATGTCTTGAGGTTTGATTGAAACCGGCGAGGAGACCCTTTTGAGTCTAGTGAGGATTGACCCAGAGCAGAGGACCACCTGGAAGCACCTTCATCCAGAAAGTCATGTGCAAATTGATTAAGAAAGACTTGAAACCCTTTGATAGAATGGAGTAGGCTGAATTTTTAAACCCTACCAACCTGCTGATACTTTCTCTCCATATCCGTCAGCTCAGACTCCACTTTAACATGTTTCTCCTTCACTTTGGTGAGCTCATCTTCTTTGGCCAGTAACTCCTCCTCTTGCCGTGTCACCTGCAGAAGTGGCTTAACCTAAACCGGGCAGGGAAATGGGAAAGCTCAGTATGAGGGTCAACAACAACAACTTACATTTATATAGCACCTTTCACATCAGAAGGACGTCCCAGGTAGTGGACACGTCAAGTCACCTCATTGCCTCCGTTGACACAATTCCCATTTCGAAGGACTTTCGGGATGTTGTGGCTAGTACATTTTCTTCCCAACCTATTTTAATATCCTGATATGGTGACCATCTTTCCCCGGTGACGTTTCTACTTTAAGAACAACTGACATTTTTAACAGCTTTCATCTTATCCAGAAGATTAATCTTCACATCCTCCTTTGATACACCCCATACTTTTAACTTTCCTATTTTAGAAACCCAAGCAAAGGTCTCAGTTATTGCTCTGACCAGTGACATATCTATCATATTCTCTTTTGGTATTTCGCTCTAACCTTTATATATTCCTTCATAAGTTCTTCTGCATTTATTGGTTGTATAATATACTCACTCTCTCACACACCACACACTCACTCAATAAAATAAACTCTCTCTTAAAAGTTAATTTGGAGATTATGAAATAGCACAGTTAGTTGTAAATGCTAGATTTTGGAATAATTATGCATGATTGTAAAATATTAATTGAAAGCTCCATTCCAATTAAAAAGTATTAATTTAGCAGTTCAGACAGTTGATTGATGAGAATACTGGCTCACACAGGAATTCATTTCCTATACAATAGGATTTATTTTGAGGGGAAAAAATATTTATAATGCAGGTTACATAGATGTACCAAATTTTAAGGTCAAATCCATGTCAAGCTAGATATGACAGAGGCAACATCAGGGCCCAGTCAAAGTAGTTATATATGTTACTTGGCAGCCAGTTATTTTGAAGTAATGTAACGGAATTGCAGAAAGGCAGATTGTTACAAGATAGCTTGGCTCACAATTCCAAATATCCCTTCCAAATTGGCTTGGTTCTATCCTGGGTCTTCACAGCTGTATTCTTCAACGCAAGAGATAGTCTAGCAATAGAGCAAACACTTGGTGCAGAATGAGTGCTATATTATTCTGCACACTTTTAACTCAAGCAAACTGTCTCTTGTGGTGGCTGGTGGGGAGGGAGGGAGGGAGGGGGATTGTTGTCATTAAACTCCAAACTGGTTGTCTTCAAAATCCAGCTTGGCTCTTGGTCTCATTGGCATCGTTGCTCACTTCACTCACAGCTTGGCCAGGAGACAACCAGTGTAACAACTGGCTATTGTTTAAGTTGAGGATTTCTTGCCCAATTAACTGAGCAAAGCTTCAGAATGTTAATTTCTCTGTGTAACTGGAATACATTTGAAACAGCCACAATGAAAAGGCAATACTGAACTCAAGAGGAGGACGGCGGTGCACACATAGTACATAAGGATTTCATTAACCTAGTTAGTCAGCTGTCGACAGCATCCCACTCAAAATCAAATAAGATTCACGGCAGATTCTTGGCAAGCCCATTTCACACGGATATATTTAAAAGGACATGTCTGGCGTCTTTGCAAAGCTTTATATTTTAGCTAAAAGCAAGTAACCTCCACAATGGAGCAGTGGGTAAATAGTCTAACCAATTTAGTAGTGAGCCATATACATTAGAATATCCCCAGATTCAAACCATGATTTGAGCAGAGTTAGTTGACTAGTTGGCAGCAGAAGCTCTGATTGGACTTTAGTCCAAAACCGAGAAGGCGAGCAGCCAGGGTTTCATTCCTCATCATCAAGTGACCTCAGCAGGAATCTGTGTACAAACACTGGGCCACTGATACTGACTCAATAGGCTCACGCACAAAGAATGGCCATTTGAGGGAAATAGCAAAGAGCTGCATAAACACATGCAAGCCAGCATCTCCAGACCAGGACAAGGGTAAAAAAATGAATAGCACTCCATAAAAAAAAACCTCTTTAGCCTTTAGTTAAAATTGTATCTGTACAGTCAAAGCTATAGACCCTACTGCAAATCACTAAACCAAGAAGTACCTGTAATGACATTGAGCACATGACTTTCACAAGAAGTGACCCTTTAGGACACTACCCATCTCCAGAACAAACCCACAAAGACAATAAAATGGGCCTTCTAAACTTTGACTTTTATACAGCCACAATTCCAACAAGCCCAGTGATCCAACACAGAACTCCCAAACCAACTGAAACCCTATTGTTTCAACTTTCATTTGGTCTGATATACAGAAAGCAGTCACCATACTTAGTTTCCAAATGGCTGATAGTCCCATATGTGTGTGTTTCTAATTGTCCTGTGTGGAATCTGCACTCTCTCTCCAGTGGCACACACTCTAACCCAGCACAGTTTAGGCGCAGCTTTGCAAGAGCCAGGCTTGGGGACTCCAGAATGTGGATGTATGTACTGCTAGAGTTTAACCAGCTAAAACCTGTAGAGCATGTGTTGGCTTCCCTCTGCTTATCGGGCTAGGCCACCTATTTAGGTTTAGGCTTAAGGAGCAGCATGAGAGAAAGACAGGCAACAAGGGCAGCAAATGTACATTTTAGAATTGCAATAAGAGGCAAAAAGTAATTTAAATTGATTAAGGCAAGCGTTATCAGCAACATAAGTCACGGAAGCACAAATTAAAAAAGCTATTCGTTACCCTGCCAACAAATTGTTATCAAGTACAAGAAAGTTCATGTCAGTATTTAGTTTACTTGATGTTTTCTGGTAAACAGAGTGACCAACCTTAGTGAAGAGTCTCCACCACTGCCAATGACGGAGCTTTAGGTAAGCAGCACAGTTTCTCTGTAGGACCTTGAGGGCACTCAGCTGCTGTTGCTTCCGAGAAAAGGCTCTGGAAAAGAGAACTTGTGAAATTAACAAAGATAACAACAATAACAACAAATTACATTTGTATAGAGCCTTTCATATCAGGAGGATGTCCCAAGGCGCTGGAAAACATTTCACAGATAACATTCAAAGATAACATTTCTCTCTGACTTTATGGCAAGAGTTTTTTTTTAAAAAAGATTTTTAAACCAAGAACGCATGGTAATTTCACTGCATTTTACAGAAAACTATTGAATTAAATTAGTTTCAAACCTTCTCTTGCAAACTTTTGCGGAGTACGCAGTCTAATGCAACACCAACACAGATACGCATATTCATGACCAACTGAGCTCAATCATACAATTACAAAAGCAGCAGCGACTACAGAACCTACTTCCTGGCCAGGTATCCTCGGCAAACAGCCTGGAAGAGGACAATGATGTCAGTGATTTTCAGGTCTCGCTCCTCCTCCAAGTGCGCAAGGACTCCAGCACGGAAGAAGATCTTACTTTGGCCGATACGGTATAAATTTGAATCCAGTTCCAAGGCATAGATCTGATCGAGGTGGAGAAGGGAATTAAAAAAAAAGCAATTGTTTTAATCATTGGCTATGAAAACCCACCCCAGAGCAAAGCTTAATTGGTTCCAGCAAATGATACAAGGTTGAATTCTCAGTAAACTGGTTGAGTTATGTCCAAAAAATATTTAGAGATGGCTTCAACAAAATATTTATTTTGAATCATAGAAACAGAGGAAACTTAATTCTTGGGAGTCCACATTATACTTTATTGCTATTAAAACAGTTTTTCAAAGAAAGGCGCAGTTGCATTAAGCTTACTTAATTTTAACCTATAAAAAAGGTTTGTCTTAAAAGTTTTTACAAGCATGAACATGAGGAGACTATGCCCTACCATTCGCTCACAGGCTTGCTTGCCATCCATGAAACCTTTGGGAATTGAATTTGGAGTCAGAATCTCATACCTGTAGAGAACAAGAGATATTAAAAGATTACCTCTGAAGATCTCATAGCATTACGGATTTTAATTTCCAGCTCATTTTAAATGGTCACAGTTTCAGGCAGCAAGTCCACCTCACTGTCGAGCCAACTTCACTATTGAATAAACTTCCCAAAAAGATTAAGAGATTTATCTGATAACCAAGAATATATTTATTTACTTACTTTTCAGGAACTTGCTTAGTTTGTTTCCGAAAAACTTTAGTTTCTTGTTCCACCACTTGAACAGGTAGTTTATCCCACCTGCTCATAATTTTTCATTAAAATATCTTTGTTTTTGCTGTCCTTATTTTGAATCTAAGAATCAGGTAGACTCAGATCTCCAACTAGATCTACTTTATTTCATCATCTTTGAAAAAAAATCATATGTAGTGTTTTTATTATGCCTCCTATGTCGAACATGTTTATAATGGGGAAAAAATATTACAAATATAAGATGTTCAATACAATGCATTATAGAGAGTCAAGGGTTGGCTTGATGCAAAAAAAATACACTGTTTGTAAGGAACAATGTATAAAAAAAGTGTAGAATTCATCTCGCCTGCAATTAGTGTTGGTTTTCGAAGACGTCGTGGAGCCAGAGAAGTATCTGAACATTACCTCTGCCTAAATTCCTGGAAAACAATCCTATTTGGAAACCCTTGGCGGCAAATTCGAATTCCTTCCAACACACCGTTGCAGCGCAGCTGATCAAGAACCAAGTGAGGATCCAACTTTCCAGCCTATACAGCAGAGAACATTACCAATCAGTCAACGGCTTAAACGATTTACATCAAAAGGTTGTTAAAAAAATACAACACAACAAATTACATTTGTATAGCACCTTTTACGTCGGGAGGACGGCCCAAGGCGCTGGACAGTCAGGGATTTGTACCTGAGCAGAGGATTTGAGATAAGGAGGCGGTAGAACGCAGGAAGGGTAGGGTAGGAGGGTGACCGAAAGTGCAGTCGAAGAGATGTGCCTTGAATGAGGCAAGGCTGGGAGCAAGGCAAAGGGACTGTGACTGTGAATCACGCCCATTACCAGGTTGATGCAAGTCTGAAATATGGTTCAGTAGCAATGCGAAGCGCTTTGAGAAGTCTCAAAGACGTAATAAGGCGCTATATCAAACGTAATATTATTATTATTAGTTACCAATTTCATTGCCACACAGGTTCAGGATCATCCAGCAGCACAACAGAGCCTGGTAACTTTCTCTTTGACCTTTTGTGTTTGGTTGAGATTTCTCCTTTTAGTTTTGCAGACCAGTTTTATTTTTAATTTGTGCAAATGATCTAGATCATCTCTCGCTCTGTGCCACTGCTGAATGGGAAATAGTCAAAGTCAGCTAAGGCGATTGCCACTTTTAGAACAAAACATACCCTTTTCTCGTGGTTCGGAATGATGCAGCGCACAAAATTAGGGTTGGTGTTGCGGAGAGTAGCCATCAGTTTGGTCAAAGATTCTTTGTACAGCTGCCCCACTGTGCGGAACATGCCCTTCTTGGTTTTATAAGATGACCCAAAGGCAGTCTCACTCATACCAGCAACCTGATCCAAACCCACGATACGGTCAACTGCGGAAATGAATCACAATAACGACAAATTACATTTGTAAAGCGTCTTTCACGTCACATCAGGAGGACGTCCCAATAATAATCCTTTCATTTTGATGTAGCGCCTTATCACGTCTTTGAGACGTCTCAAAACGCTTCACAGAATATACTGTAAACTGAATTGACTATATATTTTGTAGGTGAAACATGGCAGTCAATTGCACACAGCATTATCCCACAAACAATCATGGATTGAGTGACTAATTTATTATTATTATTTTTAAAGAATTATTACCCCCGAAAAAGCAATCCGCCAATCGACTAACAACTAGGTTCCTATTTATTGTTAGGTAAACAGAGGCTTGTGAAGTAAGGAAACTTGCCCAACTTGTCCCAAGGGCAGACATCACAGCTTTTAAAGCATCATATTAATTAGGCACATTGATGAAATGTTGAATCAAAGCTCACATACAATCACAGCAATAGAAAGACCCACAGTCCTAAATAACCAAGATCTAAAACTTTTTGGCAATATATGGTCCTATCAAGTTTCAGGATTAGCAGCCTCTCTGAACACAATTCTCGTCTCATATAATACTTCAAACAAAGATACAGAACTGCTGTAAAGTTTCAGTTTAATTCAAAGTCAGAGAGAAAGCCACTTCCCTAACACAAGCAGCCAACATGCCATCATCCTGCTTGTAATTTCCAGCTACAAATATTGTATATTCAGCACCAATCCTTCTGTAAAATATGTAAACCGGTTGTTTAACCCACATAACAGTAGCTCTAGTTTAAGTTTGGATTGGCACCAGCATCTTACCAATCAGCTCCTTGTGTTGGCAGTCACACAAAGTAATTGTTTGACTGAAGGCCCATGCAGGCTAGGTGGAAGATGAATGCTGTATGTATATATATTTACACTCTCCAGCAAAATTCCTAAACGTCTAATTATTTATATGCAGGAATGCTGGGGTTGGAGTCATCAATGATAGATATCCTACCTCTCAAAAAACATTACGTATAGTCACAGAGGTTAATGCTGTTAATATGATATAGATTTACTCTCATTCTGACAAAATCCAGGGATAATTTTATTCATCGCTTTCACAAAATATCATAACAAAGCATTTAATGCCCTCCACTCACCATCTTTCCATAGTTCAGCCACAAATTTGTCAGAGGACTGGTGCAGGAGGGTTGCAACATTGTCATTGAGTGGGTCCATGTTTTTCAGAAGCCATTCATCCGCTTTATAATCCACCTGACAGCACAGGGTTAAAGATTAACTAGAATTGCCTGGACCAAGTTATCCAGTTATTTACACAGTCACGCACCTGTCAACAAAGTACACACTACACAAAAAAAAGTTCTCTGTATTTACTTCAATGCCACAAAGTATGCATTTCAGTTCCATTTCACCTGCTCAAAATTGATCCGAAGAAATTTCTGAATTTAATATAGAAGGAAGATTACCGTTCAACTCAAAACATTGTTGAACATTGTGAGTTAAAAGGATACTTCCAGCTATTAGCAAGAAATCCTCAGGACTGGTCTCGACAGCAACCCAACCGTACCAGGAGAATTTAGTGCCCCCTTCCCGCTCCCACTACACACTAGGAAGGTTAGCAGGGAAAGAATTTTGTTTTAAATTCAACGAGTTCGGGTTTTCACGTTGCAGCCCATGAGATGGTGATCCAATTGGTGGCCCGCGGGCTGCACCCGGCCCACGGATCGTTTTCACCCCCCCCACCCAGCCCCCATCTCATCGGCCCGCCTGCTCCCTCCATAACCCGTAAATGTTATATTTATGTTTCTGGAAGGGAAACACAAAAATATTGCTTATGCGGCCTGCAGACGTTTCTCAAATAGGCCATCCGGTCCTCAGCAGCCAAAACGTCAGAATATCCTGGAAGCCTAAAGGATAGGAGGTTCTTGTAGACAAAATGTTCAAATAAAACCTTCAGGCAATCCATACCGAAGGCTTGGCGTTGCACTAAGCAGACGTACCTTGCCAGCATAATGGATGATGCAGAAGTCAGCCTTATCTTTGAGCTGCCGTGGTTTCTGGAATTTGGAGTGCGTGCCTTGTTCCTGGCTCAGCTTCTCCACAAATGTCTTATCAGTGGCCTTAGGAAACCAGCACTCCTCATCCAACAGAGCCAACACGCCAGGAGGATTAGCCTAACACAACAAACATAGTGAGTTACAACGCATTTCCAGGAGACAAAGTTAGTTTCAAGCCAAAAGCACATCCAACACCCCAAGTGATTATTAATACTTCAATTTACTCCAAACTAGCTTCCTCCAAACAACTCTGCTCTGAAAATTAAATTAGGGACCCAAGCCATTTGCTTCCTCATAGCCTGCTACAGATGAGAGTATGCAATGGCGTACTTCATTAGATAGCACTGTGCTTCCAATATCAGGCAAACTATTTAATTGCTTCTCTAAGAAAAAGAGCAAATTTGAAGAGTTTATCCAAATCTTCACTTCAGTCTCATTCACCTCCCTGTGACTGAAGCAGGTCTTCAGTCTGGGTTTTGATCAAGGACAATGTGAAATTTAGAGCAACCACACACATGAAATTCAATACTTGAGGGAAGGCATCAAAAAATGTTTTGTGAAATTTTTCAATTTTCTATTTTAGAATTAAACAAACATGAGGACAAAACTAACCAGCTGATACAGCAGAATTCAAGACTGAAATAGAATGATTTTCATTCTGAAGTGTTTACGTAAGCAACAGAAGTTAGAGCAAATATTTTGGCATCTTCCTTGGCTGTTAAACATCTAAATAAGGCATCATTTGTCCTAAATAGACTGTCAAATGCTCTACTATAAGAGAGCAAAGTATGTGTACAAGCCCACACTGTGGGTTGAAGTGCGTGACTTATTCTGAAGTGCCTGGTGATTAATATAAAGCTTTTAGTTCTTACCGGTCTCTCAATGAGGTCAATACAAGGTTGAAGATCGAGACCAAAGTCAATGAAGTTCCACTCGATACCCTCTCGCTGGTACTCCTCCTGCTCCAGGATGAACATGGTGTGATTAAACAGCTGCTGCAGCTTCTCGTTGGTGTAGTTAATGCACAGCTGCTCAAAAGAGTTTAGCTGCAAAGATAAACACAAAGAATACAAGTTAGGTTTTCAGTATAACTTGGTTTGTAGAATACAGAATAACAGTAAATACATTTAAACACATTGACTAACTGCGAGGAAACCCATGTGTCAAAGCAAGAAGTCAGTGGCTTATATAAGGGGGATTAAACAAATACATGAATGATTACCAATAATTCATGTATTTGTTTAAAACAATAATAAAAATTAATCATTTTTTCAATCTACGACTGTTTGTGGGACATTGCTGTGCGCAATTGGCTGCCGCGTTCGCCCACAAATATACAGTCAATTCACTTTAGAGTGTGTTCTGTGAAGCGCTTTGGGACGTCCTCCCGACGTGAAAAGCGCTATATCAAATACAAGGATTATTATTATTACCCAGGGACTCCCCGATATCTGAGGATAAAGTTGTTGCTGAATGATTGAGGCAGAGACCAGGAATATTCCTAACCTCCTTCAAGGAGAGTGAAAACCAGGCAGTTGCCCCTATGCTATCCCTCAACACTTGATGGAGAAGGGGTCAGGATTACACTGTGTGCTGAAGCCCCGCGATTGAACAGCTGAACAGCCTGCCAACACCCAATCTAGATTCACAAGTCGCATCAGGGACACCACTCCAGGAACCTCCGTCTTCAGACCAAGAAGAGGATGGTGGAGAGAGAAGGGGGGGGGATGGGGGGGAAGGAAATAAGAGGAGAAAAGGAGGGGGAAGAATGGGAATATAAGATGTTTTTGCCAACTTACCTCGAAGATCTCAAAGCCAGCAATATCCAAAATGCCTATGAATGAGGCCCCCTGCCTCTTGGTTCTGTCCAGAGCTTTGTTGATGCGATGAACAAGCCAACGGAAGAGTCGCTCATACGTAGCCTTTGCTAACGCTTCCTTGGCAAAGTCAGCCTGCAGAGAGCATGGAGTTACTATCCTGAAACAATACTGAGGGAATATTGAATGTCGAACATGTATAGTAATATCCATACCTGCTCTTTTGTCTGCGCTTTCTGCACGTAGTCTCTACCAACTTTAATACGCGGGCTGAGTATCGCACGAGTGAATTCCATTACATTCAATCCCAGCAGGTGACACAGTTTCTGAGCAGCTTAAGTGAGGAAGATTACAAAGAATTAGCCGGCATTGCCATCTGAACGTGTGCTTTAATTCCGCGAAGGGCAACTCAAAATGTAACTTTTTTCAGAGCAGATGCAATCAACAGCATATCTCGCACACAATCTATACCGCACTTCCACATGTTCAGCGGTTAAATGGCTTGGGCGTTTCATTCATTTCAGAAAGTAGCGGTAAATTTCTGAAGGAAAATTGCTGTTGCATTAGAGGATGCGGATCATGGTATAGAACACGACGCTTTTTTTTTTGAGGGATTTCTTTTTAATCCTACATTTTAAAAGATAAATCATACCAGCAAATAGGCTACAGTACAAACTTGCATTGGTATATTCCTTTCATGTCAGGAGGACATCCCAAGGCTCCAGACAGTAAGGTTTGCATCGGGGATGGGGGGTTATTCCCCTTTACTGCTCGAACAGGTTGCAAAAGAAAAAACCCAGAGGACAAACGTACCTGTGTTGTCGGGCATGGAGGCTTGATCAGTGTTTCTCTCCTTCTTGAAAACAATGTTACCAAACTGCAGAACCGACGAGACCACTTTGAGCATTGCTGTAAAGAAGGAAAACATTCAACACCTTGGGACAGAATATATTTTACCGACGCCAAAAAACTCATATTATGGGAAATGGAAAAGTTGAATTCTAAACCAGATGATTCTCTGAAATGGAAGGAAAACTCCAGTGATCTGCTTCACAATTAACAACTGTAAAGTTGCTGTTTCGTTGCGTAAATTCATACTCCAATCTACAGAAGTCCTGGTCCTAAAACCCGTCTATTCAAACTGTTGTCTCAGTGCAAGAGCAGGTAATAAAAATAGTGATCAATGTCAAATGGTAACTTGTCAATTTTATAGTGAACTCCAAGTGTTAGCCTCACAGTAGATAAATACGGCTGGAAATGGAGTTTAAACATGTTAAATTTAGGTTTCACTGGATAACCTCAGCAAATCAGGTTTTTAATCCAATTGCGAAACTTACCCATGATTTCTTCATGAGAAAAATGCATGATGTGCATCGCCTCCATCGTCTCCTGGAAATTATCCTTGTCCTGTTGTCCAGGGATAGGGAGGTTGCCATTGGATAGGAAACAGTAATTGCCAAATCCTTCCAGTAGCAAATCAGCTAAATACAAATAGAACAGAGTTATTACTGCGCTCCGAGACACTGCATAGAGGGCGCTATATAAGTGCAAGTTCTTGGTGTATTACATATAGTGGTTTGACAAAAATAACTGAAGTAGCAAAAATAAAGCATTAGCATTTTGTCGGGAAATGATGAGGCATCAAAGAAACAGTGAGAAAGAAAATCAAATGAAAGTCTATCAAACACCGATCACTGACTGCAGAGAGATCGTTTGTTATGTCTTTATAATGGGAATTCCAACAGGTATACACCCCCTCATCCAAATACATTAAAAGCAAGTTGTTGGTCATTGATGTTGCTGGTGCATGCCATTACCTTACAAAACAGTCACTATACAACACTTCAAAAGCAACATTGCATGAATCGTGGCCCAAATTCAGTGATAGTATAAGACTACACAGGACAGAAAAAAAACATTTGTCCAGTTCTAAATTTCTTCTTAAGTATGCTAATGTGATCTGTTTCCACCGCCTCCCTCACCTATTCCTACCTCTATGTTGTGTAATTCAAATTAAAATTCAAACTAAGAAATATCTGCCAAAACGTTTAAAAAGTTGCTCACAGCACTTTAAATCAAAAAGATTCATATTATTGTTAGAACATTTAACAAAATGCAATGTTCGGATTACTTACATGGATTCTATGCAAGTAAGATACTTTAAGGTATCGAATTGCAATTTTATTACATGCTGAAACAAAAATCCAAGCTAATTCACTAAGAAACTAGTCACTGAATGAAAGATCATTCCCTGATGTGTGCTGACAAATCTCCTTGGCTTTAAAGTTTAAAAAGTATCAAATGGTTTTACATTCCTCTCTTAAACCTGTGCCTAATATTCACAAATTGGTGGGGAATGTTCCACTAACGCAACCTAATGCCCATATCTTACTAGACTTGAAGGGGTTATATTGTATTTCACCCACAAATATACAGTCAATTCACTTTACAGTATATTCTGTGAACGCTTTGAGACGTCTCGAAGACATGAAAATGTGCTGTATTAATGCAAGGATTATTATTTTTTTTCTACCCAATATTCTTCAATAAAAGTCACTTATTAAATATGAGATTTACATTTAAGATGCTCTCCTGCTCCAGACAGCAGCTGATAGAAAACGTGGAATGTTCTTTCTTCTTTTGCCTGTCGGATAGCACGCGATTTCTCCAGAAGGTCTCAGCGAAGTCAAGGAAAATACTTTAGAATTATGAAAGCATGTCATTATTCACAGCAGGTTTCTGAGTCTGGTCATACAATAAAGTCTTCCAGTAATGTAAATCAACTCAATAAGTTAAATGAGAAAGCTTGAAAAGAAAATCCTAGCTGGTGCTGTTTCAGTTTTGAGAATGAGAAAACTCAACAAGATTTTAAAATCAGATTAACGTTGTGAATCTAATTTTCTAGAAATGCAATACTCCATGACTACAAGATAACATTTGGTTAATTTACTTAAGATAGCCAAGATAGTTTTTGGCTGAAGGATAGAGACAGCACAGGATTTGGGGTTATAATGTGTGTTCAAGTATACGCTTTCAGGTAGATGATACACTTGCACTATTAGAGCATTAATAACTCTTCATACCCAATTGATGGAACTGAAAATATGAAGAGCAACTAAAGAGATGACCTTCTCTTTGACCGTGCCTTCAGCTCCCCTGTCGACTCTCTTCCCCCTCCTCGCTCCCTCCCTCCCTTCCCTCACCCTGACCATTTCCCCCCTCCCCGCTCCCTCCCTTCCCTCCCCTCACCCTGACCATTTCCCCCTGCTCGGGTCATGACCCAACTGTGCAGCGCCTTGGGACGTCCTCCTGACGTGAAAGGCGCTTTATAAATGGAATCTTGTTGTTGTTGTTGTTGTTGTTCTACTTGCCTTAAAGCACAGCTAATGTGCACGTTTTAGAACACAAAGGGAATTATAATAAAATAATAATAAGATAGGTACTTGAAAAGGAAAATTTGTATGAATATGGGGAAAGAGTGGGGCTGATTAGGTAGCTCTTCCAAAGAGCCGGCAGAGTGGGCCAAATGGCCTCCTTTTGTACTGTAATATTCTCTGATTCTATATATAAATGACAGTCCTATTGTAGAATGAGGGCTACTGCTGGGTGCAATAATCCTAAATTGGGTTTTTAATAGGATACAGGTCTCAATGTTGGCTCCCACAATATATCCAGTGACATCAAAGTTGATCCGGATGAACTTTCCCTGGAAAAAGAAAATAAATATTTAAGCGCACGTTGCACAACAATCTCTCCCCTACCCTCTTCCCTCACACGCCTTCCCTTCCCCCTGATCAAAATTGAAGACTGTGAGACCACACGTCCCAGTAAATTCCACTTTAGCTCAAGCAGCAAACTTGCACCATATAAAGAATTGTTTGGAATTCTTAACATTTCCATCACATTCCTAAATTAAGTACCTCCAGATGTTCAAAGGGTTCACAACACACGTTTTCCCAGAGAAGGCGCCGAGGAACAACAAGCCTAGCCCGTTATTACAGACAATTCCACTCACTTCCTTGAGGTTCACAAGTCAGCAATAATGCACAAAATTGGACTCACACGGAACATTCTTACTTAACTAAAATGTGTGCTATAAAACTAGATAGGAGGAGGCGGCATTCAATCCAAAAACATTAATCTGGCCTCAATTATCTAAAACCAATTTGCCAGACTTTTGAAAACTAATCTTACGGTAATAGCAGGACAATCACTTCAATCAGGATGTTTTGCTCTGAAAAGATTATTCATTGAAATACGCAACTCTCAGTGCACTCTCCCACATCGTTCCACATCACGAGTGACACTGGAATGACCTACAGGAACTCATCTGCTCCAGTGAAGGTGGCAATGAGGTGGGTTTAGACCCAGAGAGAAAAGCTATTTAGAACTATTCTGTGTTTTCTGGACTTCCGCTTACGGCAGCCAGGATTCAGCCATTTTGCAAGTGGTTGGCAATGTAAAAATTCAAACCTCAAGGGTTAGGCACAAAGATTCAGTACCCCCCCACATTGAGCCAATTGGAATATTTTCACAAGAGGTTGTCGGCATGTGCCTGTTTTAACTTAGACATGCATTACAGAAAAAAATAGTATCAAATGAATGGCTTACACTTTAAACACAGTGGAGGTGTGCACTCACTGACATCAAGGTCAGATATTTGAGACAGAATCAATAATAATCCTTGCATTTGATGTCTTCAAGGCATCTCAAAGCGCTTCACGGAATATACTGTAAAGTGAATTGATTATCTTGTGGGTGAAACGCGGCTGGCAATTGCTCATAGCAGTATCCCACAAAGAGTGACCAATTTATTATTATTCTTTTTGTAAGGTTTATTACCCACGGAAAAGCGATCCGCCAATTGACTAACAACCAGGTTCCGACTTACTGCTAGGTAAACAAAGGCGTGTGAAGTAAGGAAACTTACCTAACGTTTCGCCCTGCCTGGGAATAAAACCCAGGTCTTCTGGCTTGCGAGGCGCGTGCTCTAACTACTAAGCTACAGGACGTTATTTTAATTTTATGATAGTAGAGCCTTGATTACCTGCCGTAATGGAGGAGACCATAATTCTCTGTTATTCTAAAGGAAGTGAAATGCAAATGTGAGCAATATTGCTTAGTATTTTCATTCCATCTGGGAACCATCACACAAGGATTTACGTTAAATAATCAGACAGGATCTTACTCCTTTAGAGCAAACTATTGCTGAGATTCCAATTGGCAAAAGTCATAGTTGGCTTGGGTTAGGGATGGCGCAATAAATGGAAACATTTTTATTTTAACACTTTCTACAGCAGACATTCTGGTCACCCAGGGTTTGTGCTCATCTGCTCTTGGGGAAGCAAGTGGTCTCTCCCTACCCTCGGCAACTAGCAGATAAAGAACTGAGAAGAAAAGTGCCTGATCACCAAAACAAATGCATCTGCAAACGCAGAGATACTGAGGAAAAGCCAAGACTTGTGATGAATGAATTCGCTCCAATGAGGTCAAGGAGAAGAGGTATCGGGGCTCCGATGCGACTTATGCGTCCCATGTGTCATGTCCCACTCACTTAGTGCGATTCTTACATAAAACTCACAAACCTACTTTTTCAAGCTATGAAATGTTGAACATGATTCTTGTTCGGAATGGGATAAAGTTCAATATTTAAATTCAACGAATGGGAGCGTAGATATACAGCTTCTTACGCATACACACACCACATACATACACAACACACACGCGCTATCCATTCTCCTCTGCCACAGGCTTCAGCAATGCTCTGGGACTGTGGGCTGGAGTCTAAAGACACCAAATATCTTACAGATGTGTCACTTCAGAAGGAGTTTTTTTTTGAAAAGAAATAGAAAAAGTTGGCTACCGCCTGAGATTGCTGCCCAGCCCACCGCTGATACTTCAATTATTTTTGAACAAACGTTGTAACCTCAAATATTTTTAGATGAACAGAACCTTCTGGAATCCAGAGCTCCAAATATGGCAAAAAGTAGGATGCCTTCAAAAGTTTAGCATCCCATCAATTTGCCTGTTACATTCCAAGCTATTCATTTTAGTCTCAGGTTAGGCAGACTGAAGATGTTTAGCAATCACACTTCACCACAGGATTAGATGAAAAAACACAGTATGTAAAGATAACATTATAATGACCAAGAAATATGTACAGTTACCACTGATCGGTATTTTCTGGCGAGAACATTCTCCCTCTTTGCTTCAGGTCAGATGCTGTCAAGTTTAATTCATGTATTAAAATTACATTCAAACTAATAGTTTCAAAAATATGCGCACAAGATTTGCTTCCCTTACCTCCCTGGTCTGAAACACTTGCTACCGGACAAGAATGTCTTAATGAATTAATTGGCGTCTTTACTTACGAAACGTGAAGAGTTGTCATTTTTCACAGTCTTGGCGTTGCCGAACGCTTCCAGTATTGGGTTTGCCTGCAGCAGCTGACGCTCCAGTTCACCCTGAAAAGAAGTTTAAAAACTTTAATATAAACCTCACCAATATTAATTAAAATGCCGTCACCCATCTCCACTGGCACCCCCACCTTCAAGAAACCTTCCCTTAACCCGTCACAGCTATCTAGCTACCAACCTATCTCCCCTTCCTATCCAAGGTCCTTGAGAGAGCCGCTGCCTCCCAGCTTTGCTCTTTCCTCTCCCTCCCTCCATGAACCTCTCCAATCGGGTTGTGCTGCCCACAGCACGGAAACTGCTCTGATCAAGGTCACAAATGACAACCTGACCATGTGTGACCAGGGCTCCCTCTGCCTCCTTGACCTCTCCGCCGCCTTCGACACCGTGGACCACTCAATCCTCCTCCACCGCCTCTCCTCCCACCTCAACCTTCAAGGTTCTGTCCTTGACTGGTTCAGGTCCTATCTTTCACACTGCCCCCACTTTGTCACGACAAACGGGTTCTCCTCCAGCCCCCGCACTGTCTCTTGGGGTGTTCCTCAGGGCTCTGTCCTCGATCCCCTCCTCTTCACTCTCTACCATGCTACATGGTAAATTTCCACATGTATGCAGATGACACCCAACTCTACCTCTGCCTCCACCCTCAACTCCAGGACTACTGGCATCCTGGCCGACTGCCCGTCCAACATCAAGTCCTGGATGAAGGCTAATTTTCTCCAACTCAACCTCAGCAAGACCGAGGTCCTCCTGATTGACTCACATCAGCGCCTCCGCACCTCAGGCGCTGGCAGAATCAGCTACCACGGCTGCACACTCAACCTCACTAAGCCAGTCAAAAACCTGGGTATCTTGTTTGACCCTGAACTGTCCTTTCTCCCCCACATTCGCGCCATGACCGGCACTGCCCACCACCACCTCCGCAATATTGCCAGACTCCGCCACTGCCTCACCCCTCAGGTTGACGAAACTTTCACCGATGCATTTGTCACCTCAAGGCTCGATTACAGGAACTCCCTTCTCATCAGCCTTCCCAACTCTTCCCTTCACAAGCTACAGATCATCCAAAACTCTGCATCTTGTGTACTCTCACACACCAGGCTCCGTGACCCCATCACTCCCACCCTCGCCCGACTCCACTGGATCCCCATCCTCCAGAGGATCGAGTTCAAGATGCTCGTCCTCACCTTTAAGGCCATCCATGGCCTTGCCCCCTCCTAACTCTCTGACCTGCTGACTCCCTACCAACCTGCCCTCCATTCATTGGGCTCCGGCCTGCTCCATGTCTCCTTCCCGACCTGCCCTACCATCGGTGGCCGGGCTTTCAGCCTCTCTGCCCCCATACTCTAGAACTCCATCCCACGGTCCCTTCGCCTTGCTTCCTCCCTCGCCTCCTTCAAGGCCATTCTCAATATCCTTCTCTTCAATCGTGCCTTTGGTTTCCCTCCCACCTCTCTGCCTTCCCTCACCCCTACACCACCCCGCCCTCCTCCCATGCTCGGCCTGCGACACCTGACTGTTCAGCGCTTTAGGACGTCCTCCCGATGTGAAAGGCGCTCTATAAATGTTGTTGTTGTTCTGCCCCAATTCAAGCCTGGTCAAGGTTGCAATAACTTGCTTAGTAAGAGGAACATGAGTCAATGATCGCAATAATAGAGGCACGCAAGGTGATTATCTAGATGATTAATCCCCTTCCTACTACAGTTTATTTGTGGTGGGTCCAAGCAGTGGAACTGCATCAGTGGAAGCCACAGTGAGACAGCAAGAATAATACCCACACTCCTGCCTACTCTGTAAAGTTCAGACAGACTTGTTTAAAACAACCACTACTGGGACTATCGATGCACCAGAACCGGACAATCCACAAAGACAGAAACTGAAAATGGCATTAAGCACTTACTGATACTCTGACAAATCAACCTGGCAACCTTGTTTGTATCTCAACACATTGGTACTATTGTCCACAAAATCAGGTTTCAGAAATAATAGGAGTCTGCCTTTTCCTAGACATCAAGTTTGGTTGGACAGAGACAAGTTGAACTTTTCCACATCGATAATAAGTAAATAACTAAACAGAAGTTAAAAAATTGGCTTTACAAAATCCTCTCTTCCAAACGGAAAGGTCTGTCTGAAACAATTAATGCTTTCTACATTTACAAAACGTAGCTTTATATCGAAGCATGACTGATTTTTTTGGGATCCCAACATGATTCTACAAAGCAGATTCCAGAACCTGGTGCAAGGTTATGTTAATATCGACACCACAAAAACAATGGTTACAAGAGAGTAAAGGTAATTTTGCAATATTGCTTAATTTGATAATCTTTGCTGCTGCAGTTCAATTCTGCACTGATACTTTCTTTCCAGTGGCCTACAATTCCTTCCATTGCGATTGCAATGATTGAAAGCATTAGATTTACTTTTGGAGACAGATAGATGCACAGCTGCCAAGAGCCACATGCTCTAAGATGGTCTCTGGTTCCACTCACAGATAGGGATAATTGAAAGCTCAAACAGCAAAGAAACCAACATTGCCTTGGCATTTGGTGAATTTGAAAGAAATCAGAACCAGACATTCTTCTTACATTGGGAGAATTCTAGAACTTAAAAAAAAAATTCATGAGCCTGGATTCATTTTTACTGAGTTGAAGAGATCAAAAATATTTTGCCTAGTCTGGAGTTTAGTTCTTGGTGCTTTAGAGCTGTGATAACTCAGAAGAAGCAGGGAGTTTGCACTTCACATCTCCCAGTGATTCACCCAAAGGAAACCTACCAATGCATACCAAAACCATGAACACCATATACGATGGGCACAAACTAAGTCAATGTAACCACCAAGATTCCTGAAATGGTGCAAGATCTGCATAGCAAGTAAAATAAGAACTCACTTAGCCGTATTATTGTACGTAATTGGTTCAAGCCTTTCTGTAAAATCCTAAAGAAATTAGAATTTCAATTCCGGATAAGAATTTGTACCTTTTTGTCAGTCCCCTGGTTGATCTGTTCATCTGGTGAACTCAACTTCTGTTTAACCTGAATTGCTCAGCATAACAGTCTGGGTTTCAATTAAACACTTTTCCTGTGGGCTTGGATCACTGCCATAACAGCCATGAAGTTTAATATTCATTAATGCAGTGAGACAGTTAAAAGTATTGAAAGCAAAGTCACCAGTAAGTAGTGATGCTAGACTTGGATTTTTGAGCCCAGTAAACAACTCCAGGATGTTTGTTTTACGAGACACTCTATGAAGACTATGGAGAACACCCAAACTCTTACTGATCTCCTGATCGTGCAAAGTCGGGCATGTTTACTGACGTGTAAACAAGTAGGCACTCAGAATGGGCTCCAGTCTCAGGCCAGGCTGAGAGGCAGCACCTCAAGAGCTTGCATAGAGACTGATCAGCAACTTGTGGACTTAAGAATAAGAAAAACTTTTGAACAGTGGTTTCCAAATAAATATTCACGATGACATTATCTGGTGCAAAGTAAACAGGGTGCAATCTCTAAACAAACTTCTCAACACAAAGGCAACCAGGATCATATCCAAGAATGCATTTCTGAATGGCAGATGAAATATCCCAGGAGTGTGTTCTCGAGATGGAAGCTGCTTTAACAGAAAGTCACCATGGGTCACAGTACTGATAAGTGGTTTGAGACGAGTTGAATAGAAACCAACAACTTCTCACCATACTTGGCTGTCCCAATATTTAACCTGCTCTACCATTCATCATGGCCACAGGCTACACTCAACACAGAGCTGGTGCTTATCAATTCTCAAAAATACAACTTCAACCCGCCCACTATAGAGTCACGGTCGTCTCAAATGCTGTGATATGTCAGGTCTCAAAGCTACACAGTCAAATGGCTCGCGTTATAAAAATAACCAATTTTTTTTATATAATGTTTCCAGTAATTCAGTAATAGGGAAAATAAATATTTTTTGGAAAACACACAAGTTGCTTTTCAACCGGTTTAAATGTCTTGTGGACTAGAAACAAGCAACTTTCACCGTAATATTCACTGTTCCAAGCAGTGAAATCACGTAAAGCAAAGAATGCATTGAGCCAGGATAAAGAGATAATTGTTCACAGCAGGCTAATCTGAAACTGCAACAGCCATCATAACACTGACAGCAACAATCTCCAGCTTCTCCAGCTTTGACCTACCTGGCCAATAACTCGAGGGGCAGAGTGAGAAAAACTGAACTCTGCCATAAGCAGATAATGAAAAACACTTGTCAAGAGAACTTAGAGGCTTCATTCAAAGAATAATGTGGCTCAAAGTTACCCATGTAGATGCACTGTATACACACTAACACTGTTGCTAATAAAACCTAAATATACATTCTCAGCAAAACTGTACAGCTGCTTTATAAACAGATTTATGAAGGTTTTTGTAACTATCATTTAGCATGGTATACCTCCATTAGTTTTTAATCTCCAAAACACTTCTTTCTTCAATCTGTTGAAGCTTCCATGTGTGTAGAAAGTCTTACTTAAGAACAACTTTGGTTATTAACTAACTAGATCTCAAACTTGATGACAGATTATTTTTAAATCAAACTACAGTGAGAAGTGTATGAAGTATGTGTGTGTGTGTCTCAAATATCATTCCAAGTCTTTTCTTAAGGCTCTGGAACATTGGAACACAATAAAAATTAGTGTACAATGCAGACTACCGAACAAGAGAGTGACTGAAGAGATATTTATTGCAGGGAATATGTTTGGGGTGAAGAGCTTTCTGTCAACCCAGCTAAATGACCTTCCTAAACAGGAACTGAAGAGGAGAGACAACATAATTCCACATTTACATTTTAAACTGAAAGAAGTTAAAGATGCTCAACGGGCTGGAAAGTGTTAAACTGAACGGCATTGAGACTTGCCTGAGTCTTCACTGGTTTAGATGATTCAGGCTGTTTGTTGCAAACAAATAAATAGCAAATATTAGGAAATATGTATTAACTTCAAACCGCTGGGTACACACCCTGAATGCTCTGTGGAGCAAGCATCTCATTCAAGCGCAAAATACTAGTTCTCTATCCATGGAAATTAACCAAAGATTTTCAGACCGTTTAGGGAACATAAACTCATTCCACAAGCAAGTGCCCTAAAGTGGCCAAAGCTCGTTTGACTTCAGCCTTCACATTGACTGCACTTTGAATATCAGTAGCAGTTTCTCAAATAGCTGTTTTACCATCGCTCTGGCACAGGGAAACTGCACTATGGACCAGTGCATTAATCCTGGATTTTCAAATCATTCTGTCACGGTAATCTCCATGTTACGAACTTTTGATTTTGTGTAAAAGCCGAACTTCTAATTGCACGGGGGAAAGCAACAGAGCTCAGCACATGCTATTACACTGCCTTCTGCACATTAGCCAGAGTTACATTACATTGCACATGGCCTGCTATCAATATGTCTAGAGAAAAAACGCAGATACAGCAGCACAAGGTTGGCAATCTTTAGTTGCATCATGCAATTGCCTCAGCCATATATCCACATTGCTACATTAGCGTCAGAAAAACGTTAAACAATCGTATTCCATGTCGCACAAGAACCCGGAACAAGAGTCAAAGTAGTTGAAACTCACTGGAATGTTATGGTCCTTTCGCCCTTTGTGAGAGGAAGCAACGTGGGCCAGATACTGAATAACCTTCTTTGTGTTTTCCGTCTTCCCTGCACCAGACTCCCCTCTGTGTTTGAACAAACATAGAAACATGTGTACGCTCCAGCAAACCCAATACTTCAGCGCCCATCTGCTGGTGACCAGCAGGTACCCGCGCTATCCAGACAGATTCCCCAGAGATTGCCACTGTCACATTGTACCCAACTAACTCAGCAACGTTTCCCGGTAACACCTCCCACCCTGGCAACCCGGCGCAGCGCCGAGAGTTACAACAATCAGAGCAGCAGCAGCGGAGTTACAGCAATGGGAGTAACAATATGATTTGTAGCGGAATGAACTGCAATTGAAAGGAAAGATTGAACTTTTGACTCAATGAGGACATATATAAGGGGAGCCAAATATTTCTTAGAATTTGGTGCTTTCTTTGGAGCCACTGTGCAATTCATGAGACAAATCCTCTCCCAAAAACCATAAATAACTAATTTTCTCTCGCAATAGTTTTGACCCCAGAGACTGTATCGCGTGAAGCCCAATGAAGGGAGGCATTATTACGGGGAGCCAGCAGCATCTATAAATCAGTATCCAAGTTATAATAATAATAATCCTTGTATTTGATACAGCGCCTTATCACATCTTCTAGACATCTCAAAGCGCTTCACAGAATAAACTGTAAGTGAATTGACTGTATATTTTGTGGATGAAATGCGGCAGCCAATTGTGCTCAGCAGCGTCCCACAAACAGTCGTGGATCGAGTGACATTTTTTTTAAAAAAAACTATTACTCCTGGAAACGTGATCCACCAATCGCCTAACAACAGGATTCCTACTTACTACCTACTTAAATAGAGGCGTGTGGAGTACGTAAACTTGCCCAACGTTTCCACCTACCGGGAAATTGAACCCAGGTCTCTCGCTTGCCACCGAGCTACAGGACTCGGTTATGCTCGAGTGAATACGCCCCACCACCACAGAAGATAAGTGACCCACAGAAATGTGAGGAATAAATTATCAGACGTATTGTCAGGCTGGTAACTGAATAGTGGGTCACATTCCTCGCAGAAAAAAGGCTTTTCAAAGTGACTGGAGATGCAGTAATTTCCTGCCCATTTCAGCACTTCAGGAATCTGGAATGTTGCCAGAGCCTACAAAAATGTGTGGTATCCGCTGCTGCTGCCGGCATTCAAAACCACACTTTATGCCATTTCAATTCTCTCAAGACCAATTTCGACTTTTCCTTTTAAGGAAAATCTATTTAACCAACTCCACAAGCTCCAAAAAAAATAAAAAGGAAAACAATCCATTTACTAATTCCATCCACCGGAGTCTGAGAATCTCGGAGTCTGTTTCCCAAAACACTGAACTTTGAATATGGGTCATCAGTTAACACTTCATTATTTAGAGCAGTTTTACAAACAAACAGGAGTCAACATCAATTTACTGTGGCTTATCAGATGCTGCAATGTGCAAACAATGCTGTCTCCGATGTATGGCCTCTTTAAATTTATTTTTAAATTGACTGCCGTGTTACGCCCGCAAAATACAGTCATTCCACTTCACAGTAGAAGCGTTTTGAGACATCTCAACGATGTTCTAAGGCACTATATCAAATGCAAGTAATATGATTATTATTCTTTTAAGAAAATTTCCAGGATTAAATTTTTTCTAAAACAAAAAAGACTTCAACATGCTAAAGAATACATATTCTTAGAAATACTACTACTAATAATAAAAAATGGGTTTGGGGAACAAGTTGGGGAGCGTGGTAGCACAAGGTGACTCATGCAGAAAAAAAACACTGCAAACACCAGCTTAAACTTGAGAAGCCATGTGGTTCCTTTATGGACTAACATTTGGAACATTCTATGGCACAATTACTGGTGAGGCCACATTTAAAATACTATGTGCATCCCCTCCTTCAGAGGACAATGATAAAGGTTCAGAGAAAAAGTAATGAGGAAAGCCTTGTGAAGCGGTTTTCAATGGGGAGAAAGGAATTGGAATATTGTGTTGAGTTTTGGGCTATCCATTACAGGAAGGATGTCAGAGGTGGAGAGGCTGCAGTACAGATACACTAGAATGGTACAAGAGACACTGGAGCAGAGGGAATATGATAGGGGTGGTTAAGATACTGAAGGGTTGATACGGAAATACTTTGGTTGGGAAATCAGCGACCGAGAGGGGGGGCAGTCTCTGCATTGTCAGCAGAAAAATTATTTCTAATCTCTCCTCTAATTTCCTTCACCTAGAGGGTGTACTTGGAATTTATTACAAGTGGCTATTCAGACTGGATCAATGGAATGATTCAAAAGGGAACTAGATAAGCACTTGAGCAGCAAAATACTAAGGATGTGGAGAGAGTTGGAATGTGGTATTAATTTTTAAGATAAGGGTTACTTGGCAACATAGGTAATGGTCGAATTCTGTGCAGAAAATCTGTTTCCAAGGAACGTAGGGGGAGGGAAAGACATGTTCCATTTCTTCAAAAAGATGAGGCTTAAATATAAGTGGGTGACTTCAGTTAGATCATAAAAGGTTCAGAGCATACTCACGTGCAAAGGATTGACTGGTCTTCACGATCTGGAAAAGATGAATAGAATAAGCCAACGTTAACATTTTGTTATTCTAATTTGGAAATTAGACGTGGTGCGCATTTAAATGTTTCCAATTTCAGCTTTATCAGATCAACAATCTAACCTGAACTAGGTGCGGCCTATGAAATAAGACTTCCGCTTATGCTCAGCAACAGGTAAACCATTATTGGAACTTGCCTCTCAATCCATTCCAGAACAAATTAATAAGTGGAACGTGGACACAGTACTACACTTAAGATAGGAAACTGAAAAGGTAGATTCCAGAGACAAGCAGTAGAGAATTGGATCTCACCATACTGCAAATTCAAATGCCATTTTGAACCCAATTCAATCTTTAGACTAGGAAACTTGGTGGTGTATAGACACTTGCATTGAACTGTTCCAATTGACAAGCTCCCCCACTCCATGTTATCACTGCTATCACCACTTATGATACATCACCTTTAGAAAGGAAATATCCATGTATTCAATTTGGAACTATGTCTGCAATCCTTCTATGAATTGGAAACAGCAGTGACTTGATATATAAAGTGCTGACAGCACAGACTAAATGAAGAAACAGGTTTGTATTACATAGAAAATATTTAAGTAACATGAAAGGTACTATACCAAATGTAAGATTTATTAATTATTATTAGATACTTGGTGTATCTAATAATACCTCAGCATCATGCTCTGTCACTGTCAAGCGGTCTGGGAAGCTATCCTGCATGAGGGTGCGCTATATAAATGGAAGTCAGAAAGATATGGAAAAAGAATTATGTCCTCACATTCCCAATCATAAAATTTGGAGATTAAAGTGTTAACACTGATAAAGACATGCCAAAATAATGAATGTTGGCTGCTACAAAGTGAACATCTCAAGCCAGTGGTTTGGTATAACGGCATTTGAAAAATAGCGGCTAGAACACAGATGAAGAATTTAGATTTTGTAGTTTCAGCTCATGGGTTCAAATGGGTGACCAGCACGTCTCATGCTCTGCTCTTTCTGAACTCTGCATCACTCATGTCCCCCTCCCCACAATGCTGCTGAACCCCACTCGCTGCTTATAATATATTGCAAGGAAGGCCACAGAAAAACTGACTGTTCACCTGTGAGCAAGGACTAGCATGATCCAGTTTTATATTAACACGTTTAAAACTAATTTGTAGGAGCAGGAACCAAACACGAGTGCAATTGCTTGAGATTCGATTTGGTGCATTCAGCACATTAGTTGAGTGTTCATGTGTGAAAGGACAATTGCTTTCCATAGCGTTTCAAGTCATCAACTGGTCACTTGGGACCAATGAGACATTCTAGTTGACTCCTGCAACTGCACGCCAACATTCTGTTATCATTGGAAGCAGATGACCCACTAGACAAAATGCCTTTGGCATGATATCATCCACATTTCTGAACAGAAGACCTCAATGTTTCACCATGCTCCACTTTGCTTTTTGTGCTCCGCTATTCGTCACTTCACAAGTCAGTGAACTTTCCCCGCTCCAGTATGCCACTTTGTCTCAATTCAGCCGATTGAACACATTCCCATTTACACAGTTTGATGTTCCTCAATGCTTACAACAGCTGTTCCTGTAAACAGACCTTGTTTCTATGATACAGGAAATGTGTGTGTGTGTGGTGTTGGGGCGCGGGAGCAGGATAGAGAAAATATTTATCATTTTACGTCATCTCATAACCGCACAGGAGATGGTATGGCAGGTGTTGATGGCTTACTGATTTCAAGAGGAATCAGATACTTGGTATTTGGCCCAGATCTGATGAGAGCTAAGTCGGAATTGGGAAGTAGTATTGTAGTTAGCCTAGATTATAATGTGCGACTCCCATACAAAGTATTTGTGTTCTTAAGATCAGAGGGGTTCTTTTACTAAATCGTGACTCTGCTCAATAAAAGACAGCTGCATTCCTCTAAACAATAATCTGGTTAAATCAGAACTGTAAAACAGACTGGGGGAAATGTAACCAGAATTTACGACTGAACACAGCATCACTGGGGAATAGTCAAGATTAGGTGAAAAGTGCTGAATTACAAAACGAAATACTTAAAATGCTAACACTTTTCTCCAGTGATCTAATAAACTACACACACACACACCCCGACAATGAATTAAGGGAAATGGGCAAGTGTAGATTTTCTAAATACTTGTTCAATTTGTTAATTTTTGGCAGCTTCTTTCCTGTCTTAAACTGTACATGAATCCACACTCTACTACATACCAGAACTCAAATTGTTTTTCAAAGGAATATTTCTGTCTATGCCTATTATTTACAACAACTCAAAACTAAGCACGATCATGCATTGAAAGACTTATATGCTTGTCATGTCTTGGTTCACTTGCATTTCAGATGGATATTTTGTGCAGCTCACAGTACCCACCATTTGATTGAAATTTAAGCTTCACTCTGGGGAAAGGGGACTAATCTCCTCTTACTGCAGCCAATGCCAAAAGAAACACTGCTAAACAAAGTCTCAGTTTGAAAGTTCATGAGCGGTAGCCTGGCTCCACTCATAAGCTATTAATGTTCGAGCTGAGGTTCTGTGTCCATGGGTCACTGAAGCTCCAACCGGTGAATTTCAATTTATTGCTACAAAAATATGGAGGTAGCCGCTCTTAAAAATACTCAACGCATCCTAAATGAACATATTGTATTTCAGGAAACGGCTAAAAATTTGAATGGAACAGAAAAATAAGCCCAATGCTAAATCATATCTGGACAACCAAAGTCACACAACTACTGATCTCCCGGTGACTTTCAAATAGTAATTGTGTCACATACTTAAAATAGTTAGCAAACGCAAAGGTTAGGAGAATTTGTACACACAGTAGTTGTGATATGGCTTGCCCTGATAGGAGTGGTGGTTGAGGCAGAATCCACATTAGCTTTCAAAATGATTCTTGATAAAGGAGCAAGCTACAGGAGTAATAATGGGAAAGAGCAGATACATGGGATTGAAAGGATCACTCTTAAAGGAACCAACACAAACATGATGGACCGAATGGTCTTTTTCTTCGCAATAAATGTCTACCTTTTCTATACAAATTCTCTCATCTACCAGGTTTCTCATTGGATTTGGGGGCCCTTTAACTCATCGATATTAATACATCCAGATTATATTAATATGCCCCACCATCGGCAGTCAGGCTTTAAGCCTCTCTGCTCCCACCCTTTGGAGCTCCATCCCACATTCTTTTCGTCTTGTTCCCTCCCTTGCCTCCTTCAAGGCAGGTTTCAAGATCCTCCTCTTCAACCATGCCTTTGACCACCCTCTCTGATCCCAATGCCACCCCCACCCCCGCTTGGGTCCAAATCCCTGACTGTCCAGCTCCTTGGGATGTCTTTCTGACGTGAAAGATGCTATACAGATGTAATTTTGTCTTGTATCCAGAATACCTTAATTCTCCCTCAAGTCCAAACTCTCCTCTTACCTCTCCGCACATTCTCCACCACCCCACAGACCACATAACCACTAGACTGTAGTTAATGATCAAAGGATAAATTCCATCATGCTGCAGTAACTGCTAGTGGTATTTTAACAAGTGAGCACTGCTAGATTTCACTTTATAGAAATAATTGATGGTTTGCACCTCACTCACTTCAACTCCTCCAAAGCAATTCCAAATAAGGTCACATAATCTTTGATTCTTTCCACCTAAAGAATCATGGAGCAGCATCAGTTAACAACAAGGCTCAAGCCTTTGTTCAATAAAGATGCCACCAATTATTGTACCATCCAAGTAGCCAGAGAAACGTCTAACCAGGATTACTGGATAGGAAAAAACCAACAGCAGTGTATAGTTCCAAGAGCAGAAGCTTGATGAAAAACCTCTGACCCCAAAATGGACCAAACATTTTTTTTACTAAGTAAATGTAAATCTTAGAGGTATACAATAACTAAATTCATAACTAGTTTTCGACTGTTTATTATTCAATAAAGCCAGCCAGTTTCCTGGTCTGGATGGCTTGCATCCCAGGGTTTTAAAAGAGGTAGCTTATGAGATATGTCTGATCTTCCAAAATTCCTTGGATTCTGGAACAGTCCCCATGGATTGGAAGATCGCAAATGTCACACCACTATTTAAAAAAGGTGGAAAGGAAAAGATGGGGAACTATAGGCAGTTAGTCTCACATCAGTGATAGGAAAAAGTTTAGAATCATTGATTAAGGATGTGATAGTGCAATATTTAGGGGAGCACAATATAATTAGGCCAAGTCAACATGGCTTTACAAAGGGGAAGTCATGTTTGACGAATCTCAGAGTTTTTTGAGGATATTTCCAGTAAACTAGATAAGGGTGAATCAGTGGATGTGGTCTATTTGGACTTCCAGAAGGCATTCAATAAGGTGCCATATAAAAGGTTAGTCCAAAAGATAAGGGCCCATGGAATTGGGGGGAGCATATTAACGACGATTGGGGAATGGTTAACGGGTAGGAAACAAAGAGTAGGGATAAACGGGTCCTTTTCAGATTGGCGGGATGTGACTAGTGGAGTGCTACAAGGATCAGTCCTTGGGCCTCAGTTATTTACCATCTACATCAACGATCTAGAGGAGGATATCAAAGTTAATATATCTAAATTCGCGGATGACACAAAACTAGGAGGAAGTGTCAACACAGAGGACGACATTAAAAAAATGCAGCGAGACATAGATAGGTTAGGTGGTTGGGCAGGGAGGTGGCAGACGAAGTATAATGTAGGGAAGTGCGAAGTCATCCACCTCGGGAGCAAAGACAGTAGAGCGGGTTATTTTTAGAAGGGGAGAGATTGGAATGTGTTAGCGTCCAGAGGGACTTGGGTTTCCTTGTACACCAATCACAAAAAGTTAATCTGCAGGTACAGCAGCAATTAGGAAGGCAAACGGTATGTGAGCATTCATTATGAAAGGATTAGATAATAAGAGTAGGGAAGTCTTGCTGCAACTGTATAGGGCCCTGGTGAGATCACACCTGGAATACTGTGTGCAGTTTTGGTCTCCTTATTTAA